GCCGCTTTTTCCTACCAATTTCATTTTGGGGGAAACTATTGGAAGGGTTTAGCAGATGTTTGGTGGAATGACCTGGAGCATTTCTTCCGAGTGGCAGCCAGTGAAATTGTCTTTCTGCTTCTGTTTAGTTTGGAAAGTGAGGTAGAAAGTGTTTTAGTTGCAGCTGCTGCTGATTAGGGGTGCCCAGGACAATCCTGTGGACCAGTGGCCAAGGAAGCTTCCACCAAGAGATGGGTGATCCCTCTACCACCTCTGCAGCATCGAAACTTGGACGAAGAGCCAAAATGTAGAAAGTTGAGAATGTAACACCTCCAACTTAATAAAGGGTATTCCCTTTAAAAAGAACTTAGAAGCATCATATCTGGGGGATGCTACAGAAAGTCAAATTTCTAAACCACCAATATGGAACAAACCTACATTCCTGTTTTAATGTCAAAGATTGCCCCCGAAGTCATCCATACTGTATCTCTCAGGTGTTCAAAACACCTCACATACATTCTCTTAGTAATCAGCATTGTAAGCTTGGGCAAGCTATCTCATATTGTAGTGGGCTAAGGTGCAAATAATGGCAGCTTGTCATAGGCTAGTAAGTACATGGCCAAACTGCAATCTGAATTGGGATTTTCTAGTTCACGGGTCACTGTTATGTTAGGACAGCTACCACTTCCACCCATTTATAGAAGCCTATGCCTACTTTTGAGAATCAAAAGCTTAAATAATTTAGTAGAATAATGTTTGCTACAGGGAAGCCAGGAAATATGCAGATGTTCAACCATTCGCTGAAGAAAAGGCAGGTTGCTTACCTGTAACTGTTGTTCTTCGAGTGGACATCTGTGCATTCACACAGGCTCTGTGCAGGCACAGCACCCATATGTGTGATGCACAGAGACTATGATGAAGAACATAATGTATCTGATATACATGGCACTCTTGCAGAAGTACTTTTAGGACTGTATGGTATCCCAGGACAACTCATTTTGTTCTTGCCCTCTATTAGCTGGAGTGAAAGGGGCTTGCTTTCCAATTGAAATGGTGCCTACCATTTGAAGACAAGACTTTTCATGTACATTTTTCAATTATACACGATACTGTTAAACATTCTGTTTCTGCTAAATGCAACTTGGTATCTCCCAGTTAAACAACAGGCTTCCTGCAACCTCCTCACTGTAGTGATAATAGACTCCCTTTTCACAGCATAGAACTGCAAAGCTTTAAATTAACTGTGTTTTATGAAAACACCCACTCGATTCTATTTTGGAGGAGAAAGTATCAGTATTAATTAGCTGGAGTTTTAGGACATCTCCAGCCCATTCCCAGTTTTATCACTGCTATGCTTTGCCCTCAAACTCCCCTTTTTGTGCTAATGATTCTTGCTGCTTCTTAATTCCAGGATAGTTTATGTCGTAATTGCTTCACTGATCTTGTACAATGAAGGGTCAAGTGCTTTATCTCTTTCCCAGCAAGAGGAAGAAAAGCTTTCTGACCTTCATCCCACCAAGCTTTCCTCTTTTGGTTAAGCCAAATTATTATAAATTTGTTGGAAGAACAAATTATCAAAGAAAGTCAATACTACTATTGCTAACAGCTTCCTAACAGTATATTTCACAGAGTTTCACAACTGGTGCCTATTCTTGTTCTTCTCAGCCAGCTGGCTTTCCACTGTTTTTCTTAGAGCTCAACTCTTCCAGGTATGTGTATATTGCTTTGTAGTGTTCAATGCACTGCCTATATGAGCCTTCCTCACATGTTATAAACCCTGTACCAGCCTCCCCTAATCTGGTGCCTTCCATACACGTTGGAAGGGCGAGGAATGATGGGAGCTGCTTATCAACACATCCGGAAGGCTGTCCTCTAAGGTATTTCTGCAGACTGAGATTCAAAGGACCATTGCTTGCCTAAGGCCACCTAGTGAGTTCAGCACTGCAGTGTGATTTTGAGATATCTCAACTCATGGTTTTAGATAGTACACTAGTCCTGTGAAGTGCACACTTATACTTTAGGGGGAAAACAGGCAGATACTTGGGCTGTCCTAGAATTCGTGACTCATGATTACTTTCCAAGGTTAACAGACTGGAAAGTACTCTTTGCAAAAAGAATGGCCTTGAATAATTGAGCCAGTGTGCAGCTGGCTACAGCTCTGAGGATTTTCCTTCAGGTGTTTGCACAGTAGCTCTGTCTCTCTGATCTAGGAGATAACTAAAGCACTGAGATTTTTCTTTGCGCTAAGTAATTAAAGGATGCAATTAGATTGCTTACCATAATTACCATATAGATGTATATACTTTCCTTTGTGCATGCTGAAAGGCAATTTCTCTCAAGAGCCAAGGAATGTTTCAAATTTGGAAGGAAAAAGTTCTGTATATTTCTTGGTGTGTTTTCAGCCCTAGCTAGACGAAGTCTTCTTAAACTTCTGCGTAGTAATCCCTTTGCCAAACTTCTTTGTTTTCATTTCTATTTGTTTTTACCTGGCCAGGTCTGAAAAATTTGATCAAAATTTATGAGGATGGTGAGAAAAGTGGGCAAAGCAACTGCTAAGTAATTCATATGGCTTGGAAGTAGTGGAATGAAACCAAACTATGTACTCCATTACTTATGATGTCCACTTTGAAGACTACCGATCCTCCATGTTGAATTGTTTCATACACTGTTTTTAGTGCTCAAACTAGGGCCCTAAATAAAAATGTTCTGGGCCATACAGATGCATCATGAATGATCTATTTACTCAGCTTCTCCAGGCTACCTACAGTAGTTCTGTGGAAAGAAATAAGTGATTCTTGATGCAAGTATAGCTGCACCAATTGGCACTGTTTCTTGAGCATCACCTTCATTGGGCTGAATTAGTCCAAACTGGGATATGCTGGGCCTGACACCTAGCCATAGGTCACCTTTTCATTTTTCAGTTCATACCCACCCTTCTGAGAGAGGCTGCACCAAGACAGCAGCAACAGTGGTGGCAGCTATGGCTGGTAGGCCTGATTTCTAATGGGCATGATCTGCTTTGGAGGTATCTTACAACAGGAGTAGTGCCTGAATGAAGGGAGGGAATATCAAAGTTGCTCCCTACACTGTTCTTCCCACAGCAGGTGGTTATACCCTTAAACATTTCCTAAAGGGGCAATTAGTTTCTGACTCCTGTCAGTTAATCATATGTTTGCAGAAGCAAGAGTGGTGGAAATACATAGAAACCAATGTGTAAACTGATACCAAACTGGCAGGGTTAGAAGCTCTATATTATTGCATTGAACTGAAATCTCCAAGCCCTCTTTTCCAAAAAAAAATCCAGAGTTAAAAAGTTAAAAATATTGTGGTGACATGGAAAACAAGTCTCCTGTGCCTTCAAAGGTTTTATAGCAGGCTGCTGTCCAACATACAGGCCCAACAAGAAAGTACAGGTCAGGTAGGGCTGCTCCTGTAGGAATTCGGCCTGTCATGCAGCCTTTTAAAAAGGTATAGGTTTCCTCAGCTGATGCCTCACTTGTACCTTTAATATCAGAAATGTATCACATTACTTTAGGCTGGCCCTTACATGCTCCTAGACTTGACAGGTTATGTTGATCAGGCATTCATGTAAGTCTCTTGATAATTTTTAGAGACACTCTTCCAATCAAATGAGTTCTTTTTTGTTCGTTTTTCTAATTGTTTGATTATAATTTCTCTGTTTCCAGTAAATCATGCAATCTCAATGGTATAAAATACGTTTCAAATTCTGCCTGTTAGACAGTATAACATGGATTGAGAGGAGGCAGGAGTGACCCAAGTTTCCAAAACTTATTTCATTTTTAATCTGCTCAATAACAATACTTTGAGTGGAGTACAAAACTAAATACTGCTTCTCTCACACACCCATGCTAAAAATTAAACTCACATCCTTAATACCAACTTTCAAGTTTCTCCTGCTGTCTCCTTTCTACCCATACCACCAGAAACTCTGCTATCTTTTTATTTTTAGAGAAAAAAGACACCAGATTTCAACAGCTAATGAAGGAAGAGGTTCATCCAGTGAACAAAATAACCTTCCAAAATAACCTCAAAATAAAACAGTAGCAATTATTTGAATTTGTACAAAGCAAATTGGATATTTTGCATTCCCTTCAACTCAGTCACTACTGCTACACTGTTGCCTCAGCAGGGAGTCTTTTACTAAGAGATTAGTGCCAGTGGCAAGAGATAGGAAGCCTTCTGATTTCTCCCCAGATGGATGTCACCATATGGAATGTGTAGGACCTATATGGATTGCCATTGGCTCCAGTTACATTGGCAGTGAACAAGCTGTCTGTGGCTCTGGTGTAAGAATGGAGAGGATAATAGTAATGGGAAGGGAAGGTGCATTCAGGAACATCCTCCACATGTGTGGCACCATATCAGATGCCTTAAAATGGCACTGCCAGGAGGCAGATGCAAAGGCTGAAGGTTTTGCTCAGCAATTGGATTAAGCTGTACAGTGTTGGTGTCTGGTGGCCTTCAGTTGCCACAGAGTATCCCTACTATTAGCACTTAATGACAATCTAATTAGGTAAAGGAAACTGATGTGCTTTCTGCTGCCATTTATAATCAAAGCTCCCATAATATGCCTTATTAATGACCACTCTCAGGGCTGTAATTTAACTCTCCCAAAGGTACACAGATCCCCATATTTATGTACTTTGGTGACTTGGTCTTTACGGACAATGATCTACCAAATATATTCCATATGAAAACAGGATTCTACATTTTCAAGTACATACTCATCTTAATAAGATTATCTTCAAAATATCATCCTTAAGGCCAAGAACAGACATACCTTGATTTCTATTATGGTTAATGCTTAATAGTTAATAGTCAATGCTTAAAATAATCCAAAACTAAAGGGACATACCTGTATACTTCATTCAACTTTGAAGGAACTGTTTGCATCACAGGCATTCCTAAAACATTTCTTAGCCATTCCAAGGTTAATGCATTCTTTAAAATTAATCCATCACACATGTAAGCACCCCTTCCAAGGACTTTGAGATACTTACGGAGCCCAGAGCCTTGGGAAAGCATCAATTTCCTCTTGCGTATATTCATCTAACCTCCTAGGCACTATGCGAGGTTGCGGAAGCTCTTCAACGAGATTTTGGCGAATATCTTCTGGGATAACCTGAGGAGGAGGAAAATCCTAATGTAATTTCATCCTAGTTTTCATTTGCATCACTTCAGGTGCAATCATTCTCATGTTTAGACAGAAAAAGCAGTTTACAACTCCTAACATGTCCGGGCCAGCACAACTGGAAACTGCAGCTGATTCAGTCCCATAACCAGGTCAATATCCATATTACAATGGATCTAGATACTGTGTTGCAAGGTTGAAAATTTTCTCTTGCTCCCAGCCATTTCCTAATGATGTTTAGGTTTTAGCAAATTTATGATTTTTGTTTATATAAGACTGACAAAAGTTCAGCTGATAAGTCTTCTTCATTTTGCAGATACATAAATTAATGTTGCCTTGATTGCTCCCATCATTAATAAAGCATGAAGCAAAATAAGATGCATTTATTCTAGAACATGCACAAAATAGCTCCACAGATGACTTGGACTTCAGCTTCCAGCATTCCTGACTGGCAGCCATGCGGGAAAAGGCTTCTAGGAGTTGAAGTCAAAGACATCTGGAGATCTAACTTCTGTCCTCCCATTCTAGAAAATTAACCATGTCAGTTTATATTAGCACACACATAAAGGAAGAAAAAGAATGGCAATATCTTAAAAGCCAGGGAAATTAATGTTGCACAAATTTCTACAGACAAGCAGGTTGCTTACCTGCAACTTATGTTCTTTGAGTGGCCATCTGTGCAGTCACACATATGGGTACTGCACCTGCGCAGTGCCTGTGGCCGGAAGATTGACAGCTAACGGTTTTTGGTGGGAAGCTCCGCTCTCCCTCCCCCCTGTGGCCTATAAAGAGCAGAGCGTCTGCCATTTTGTTCAGTCTTTGCGACCGAACGTACGCTATCTTATTGAAAAAACTTTTTTTTTTTGATGTCGGTACCGTGAAAAAGGGCATAGTCGGTACCGAAAGATGCATTCACTCACCGACACTGAGCGGTTGATGCAGCCACTCACCGATACCGAGCGGGGCTGGCGGGTGGGTTGTGTGACTGCTCAGATGGCCACTCGAAGAACATCAGTTACAGGTAAGCAACTTGCTTTTCTTCGCCGTGCCCTCTGTGCATCACACATATGGGTAGATTAACAAGCTTACCATAAAGGAGGAGGGAAGGTGTCCTCATTGAAGAACGGAGGAGAGAACAGCTCTACCGAAGGAGCAATCCCGTCGAGCTCGAACATAGAGACGGTATTGCCTGGCGAAGGTGCAAGGGTTTGCCCAAGTAGCGGCTCAGCAAACATCATCAATCGGGACACCGGATGCGAATGCAGACAAGGATGCAACAGCTCTAGCAGAATGGCCTCGAGGAACTGAAGGCAGTTCGAGCTTAGCTAATTGATAGCATAAGACTATAGTGTGGACTATCCGCTTAGAAAGTCTCTGTGGAGTGACTGGATCGCCCTGATCCCTAGCAGAATATTTGATGAATAGTTTATTGGATCGTCGAATAGACTCCGTTTGCGATCGGTAGAAGGCTATGCAACGGTGAACATCGAGTGACTGCAAAGATCTTTTCAATGGAGTCGACGGTGACGGAAAAAAGGCAGGCAGCACAATGTCTTGTCCCGTATGGAAAGGTGTAGACACTTTAGGCAAAAAAGACGGGTCGAGGCGTAAAACGACCTTCTCCCTGTGAAAGTTTAAATAAGGAGGGTCTATGTGAAGAGCGCAAAGTTCACTGGCCCTCCGGGCTGAAGTGACAGCTACAAGAAACGTCATCTTCGAAGAGACCAATCGAAGATCCACCGTCACCAAAGGTTCGAAGGGGGCCTTCATAAGGGCCTGTAGAACTACAGAGAGGCTCCATGTGGGCATAACCAGTCTAATTGATGGGTTAAGATTATATAGGCCCTTCAAAAATCTTTTGAGGATAGGATGAGAAAACAGAGGTGATCTGTTGACTAAGCCACGGTAGTAGGCTATTGCAGCTGTATACACTTTAATGGATGACGGCTTCAGTCTGGAATGGTGCAATTCCAGGAGGAACTGAAGAATCTGTTGAATGGATGAAAGGAATGGAGAGAATGAACGCGACTCGGCAAAGGCAGAAAAACGTTTCCATTTAGCCTTACATGACTTCCTTGTGGACGGCTTTAAGGCAGAGTCGATGATATGCTGAATATCAGGGTGCAAAAACGTCGGATTCGGATTCGACGGGTCTTGTCTCGAACCGGATAGTACAGAGAGACCAGAGAGGGGGGAAGCACCTGAGTGACTGGGTTCGACAACTGGATCCGAGGTGGTCGAAGTAATCGTCGGTACCGACGGATTAGTAGAAGCTGTCAGATTCGTAACTTTCGAAACCGTCGTCGGCGCTGATGGAACGTCAATCATCGAATTCGCCATGCTGTTAGGTTCAATGAGAGCAAATCCGGGTGGCGAAGTGTGCCATCCACCTGTGTTATAAGATATGGGAGCGACGGAAGATGAAGAAATTCCCCATGAGAGATGTTGAGTAGTTTCGCAAACCACGCTTGACGTGGCCACCAAGGGGCAACTAGTATCCCCGATGCTCGGTCGTGCATTATCTTTGCTATGACCCTCATCAGAAGAGGGATCGGAGAGAAGGCGTAGAAGTTCATATTGTTCCAAGGGATCATGAATGCGTCCCCTAGGGATGTGTGTCCGATTCCCGCTCTCGAACAGTAAGCCTTGCACACCCTGTTCTCTTGGGTAGCGATTAAGTCCACGTTGGGAAACCCCCAGTGCCGGAAAAGGTGGTTGTGTGTACGGGGATCCAGTTCCCAATCGTGAGAGGTGAACATGTGCCTGCTGAGAAGATCCGCCTGCACGTTGTCTACACCAGCTAGATGAACAGCCATCAGCGTGATGTGTCTCCGGATGCACCAGTCCCAAATTTTCATAGAAAGCCTGGCTAGAGTCAGCGACTTTGTTCCCCCTTGCTTGTTCAGATAAAAGATGGTAGCTATATTGTCCGAAGTTATCTGGACGATCTGATGATGAAGGATGTCCTCGAAAGAGCGCAGGGCTTTGAAAACTGCCAGTAGTTCTAGGAAGTTGATATGATTCATGGATTCTAGACAATTCCACGTACCCTGGGTAGATAGGCCGGAGCATATCACTCCCCATCCTAGAAGAGATGCGTCAGTGCCAAGGGTTATCGTAGGAGGTTGCGCCCTGAAGGGGACTCCTATCATAAGATTGGTCTGTTCCAACCACCAAGGCAGAGAGTGAAGCACGGAAGTTGGGATCCGAATCAGTCTTGACTGCGGATCTCTTTGAGGATGGTACACCTTGATGAAAAAGAGTTGCAGTGGGCGAAGCCAAAGCCTGGCATGTGGAACTACAGCAACTGAGGAAGCCATATGCCCCAGGATCCTCTAGATAGACCTCGCCGGGACCGTTCCCTCTCGTCGGATTTGATGGATGTGGCAAGAGTCTGTTGGCTGTCCTGAGGGAGAAAGGCTTTTTCCAACGTTGAATCCAAGCGGGCTCCAATGAAGGTGAGCGTCTGTGTCGGGAGAAGAGAAGATTTCTCGGTATTAATACGTAGGCCTAGGCTATTGAGCAAGGCACAAGTTGTATGGATGGCCGCGAGGAGTCCTTCTCTGGACTGCGACACCAACAGCCAGTCACCAAGGTACGGATAAATTTGTATGCCCTGGAGGCATAGGAAGGCACAGACAGGAGCCATGTACTTGGTAAAAACCCTCGGAGCCGTAGCCAGTCCAAAAGGCAAAACTGTAAACTCATAAAGTTGGTTTGCAACCGCAAAACGAAGGAAACGCCTGTAACTTGGGTGAATTGAAATATGGAAGTAGGCGTCCTTCAAGTCCAATGAGGCGAACCAATCCTCTCTCCTTAGCAATGGCAAAATGTTTTGAAGGGTAGTCATACGAAATCTTTTTGGTACAATAAACTTATTTAAGTCCCGTAAGTCCAAAATCGGACGTAGACCACCATCCCGCTTAGGGACCGTGAAGTATCTGGAATAGAATCCGTAGAGTCCATCAGATGGAAATACTTGACGAATCACTCCTTTATGAAGAAGTTGATGTATTTCATCGAGCAGTACTGGTGAGCATGAAGTGGACCAGATCGGACTCGACGGAGGAACGATGTCGAATTCTATCCGACAGCCGTGCTGAACGATGGACAATACCCACCGATCAGATGTGATGGACTCCCAAATGGGGAGTTGGCTTCGGAGCCGATCCCCAGATGAGAGGGGGGTGGGTATTGGTGGAGCATGAGGAATGGTTCGCCAGTCCCGTCAATGTTGCCTCCGATCGTTGAAACGACGGCGGCCTTGTTGGAAGCGTTGTTGGGGCTGAGGGACGGTGGTGCTGCTGTTCCTGTTGCTGGCGGTGTTGCGGCTGCTGCCTCGGTTGATATGATTGCCTGTAGGATGGACGATTCCAGGACGTCCTGCATGGGACTGTATCTCCATCCTGCATGCCATCATCCTCGATTCATGCAGCTTCTTGAGCTTGTGGTCGGTGCGGGAATGGAAAAGCCCGGATCCATCGAAAGGCATTTCCTCGATCCGGCGCTTGGTTTCTTCCGGAAAATTACAATTCCAAAGCCATGCATGCCTTCGGAGAGAAACGGCACCGACCAAGGCCCATGAGTCAGTATCTATGTGGTGCCTTGCCATGGATAACTGCTGCACCGAGACCTGCATGGCTTCCTTAATCAGGACCTTTGCAAGGTCACCCTGGTGGTCCGGGAGGGTGGAGGCGACGTTGTCCAGGCGCTGCATAATGAAGTATTGATACCTTGCCAACGTCGCCTCGTAATTTGATATACGGAGCCCCAGGCCTGAAGCAGCGTAGACTCGCCTAGCCAGGGAGTCTATTTTTCAGCCCTCTTTATCCCTCGGTGCCGTGTGCCCTCTCGCCTCTCTGCCCTGCGAGGATTCGATGACCGCAGAGTTTGGTTTGGGATGTTGGAGGAGGAAGGGGATGTCCTCCTCCCGAACCCTGTACATCGACTCATATCTCCTGGATGTCGGCTGAGGATGTGATGGCAGGTCCCAGGGCTGCGTCATCGCCTGCTGCAAGGTGGTTATGAGCGGCAGGACGATGGATGTCGATTGCTCCCCGCGGACGACATCGTAGAACTTGTCCGTTGTCAGTCCCGGGCGCTGGGCAGCATCGATGTCCAGGGACTGGACAAGTCTAGACATCAGCTCTGCGAAGGAGACGTGGCACTCATCAGGCGACGCAGGACCCTGGGATGTCACAGCGACGTCCGGAGAGGTTGAGTCGACCTCCGAGTCGGCCGAATCGGCACCGTAGTAGGGTGGGGCCGAAGATGACAACTCTGCCAGGGAGAAGGAGCGGCTGCTTCCACCCTGTGGGGATCGAGGTGACACCTGCCTCGGATCCAATGAGCGCAGTTGGTCACAGGATGGAGGAGAGGATCGTGCCCTGGGAGCAGGGTAATACCCTACGGAGAGCAGATCACCCCAAGTATGGTAGCAGGGGCGACGCCAGCTCTCCAGACATTGCTCTACAGAACGGCTTCTCCGGCTCCCCGGTGGGGACAGTCCAACGTCTGCTTCCATTGTGACCGTGGGCATGGGTGTCGGTGACCTCGCCCTAGGAGGGGAGTTCTGGATTTCCCCGTCGGATATTGAACCCCATAGAGTTGGAAGGGGTGCAGGCAGGAGGTCAATCGCACGGCGGGGAGACCCTTGAGGGGTAACCCGCATAGCCTCCTGGAGCACTGGTTCGGGCGGAGTCGGTACCGTAAACGCTACCGATACTGAGGGGCCCATCGGTTCTGAGTCCTGATGTCAGGGATGGTCCGGACGGTCCGAATTCCTGGGTTTCTTGGGAGGCTTGGAGACCTTCTCCTTCCTGGCCTTTTTATGGCCTGCCGACTTCTCGGATTCGGCATGCTTCCGCTTTTCATGCTTCTTTTTAGGTGAAGCAGAGGGAGCCACCGAAGCAGACGCACCTTCATCCAAAGGCCATGAGGGTAGGGCCACAGAAGCGGAGCCAGGTTTTGGGATGGCAACAAGCGGGCGTGATTGCATCAGAGCCCGATCCCAAAGGAGTCTCCGGAGGCATTTTTCCTGGCCTGCTTGGAGAAGGCCAGGCAATGCGCGCATTTATCCATCCTATGCCCCTCTCCTAGGAAGAGGAGGCATAGGTCATGCGGGTCAGTTGGTGCCATTTTTGACCCGCAGTCCACACATTTGCGGAAAGCCACTTGCTGCGCCATCGCAGAAGAAGAAGAGAGGGATAGTGCAGAGGGTAAGTATATATTTTTGTTTGTTGTTTTTTAGATAGATAGATCGAAAGAAGAAATAACAAGAGAAAAACTACAAGGAACAATGAACTGGGAGCAAGGAGAAGAAAAAACCGGGAAAGAAGGACAATCGAGAGCAAGGTAACAGTCGAAGCGAAAGTCGAAAGCGGCACGAGGCACAGCGAACGGCGGTCGCAAACACTGAACAAAATGGTGGACGCTCCGCTCTTTATAGGCCACAGGGGGGAGGGGGAGCGGAGCTTCCCGCCAAAAACCGTTAGCTGTCAATCTTCCGGCCACAGGCACTGCGCAGGCACAGTACCCATATGTGTGATGCACAGAGGCCACAACGAAGAATAAATGTTACTTTACCAGCTGCATATAGGTGTTGGGAAAGTAGGGTGGAATATGCATGAGAATATATTTGAGATCACTGCACAAGAAGCAATACCAGGTACAGACTTACCTCATCAGGAAAGAGATGCAACCTTTGCATCATGGTTCTTCTAAGAAGAGTTTTGGGGAGCATGCCGTAGATAGCCAGTTTTACAACCTGAAAAATAAATACACATGTATATATTACATCTGATCTGATATCAAGCCAATTTGCACAGAGTTAAACAGCAGAACTATATGAAGGTAATAAACTTTAGCAGTCCTGGAAAGTTGGAAGAACCTATTTCACATAACATTCAAGCACTGCAGATCATATCACGCAGAATGGTTGAGAACACAGGAATGTTATCATATCCTCAGTGAGATCATTGGTCCATCTAGCTTCAATTGTCTACACTTATTAGTAGCAGTTCTCTTAAGGTTTCAGAAATACATATCTCTCAATCCAACAAAAAGATGTTTGGGATTTGAGCCCAGGAACCTTTGAATGCAACATGTGTTCTACCATTGAACTATGGGCCCTTCGTAATATGGATTAACGTCCTGTGGATGGCTTCCTCCATTTCATGTGCACAGAGTGAAACAGGTAAATCTATCACCAAGTTTCAGGTGCAGTTTGCCACTGACTATTGGTAGTTGAAAGAAAATTAATAAGAGACTTGCTTTCATGTCCTTTCTGGGGACTTTCTAGAAGTACCTGTATAGTCACTTCTGGAAACAGGATGCTGGATTAGATGGACCACTGGTAAGTTTTCAATTAGTTGTTGTATATTTGATACACATGATATTCTATACATTTTTACTCTCAAGGAAGTGATGTGTATGAACAGAAAGTGTTGTGTGAAGCAGGCTGAGCTATATTTGTGGTTGGGGTTGTTGCCACTCACCCAGTTACTTTGACAGGCAATTTGGGTGACAATGGAGAAAGCTAGGGAGTTCCAGAAAAACATCTACTTCTGCTTCATTGACTATGCTAAAGCCTTTAATTATGTGGATCACAACAAATTGTGGCAAGTTCTTAAAGAGATGGGAGTACCTGACCATCTTATTTGTCTCTTAAGAAACCTATATGTGGGTCAAGAAGCAACAGTGAGAACTGGGCACAGAACCACTGATTGGTTCAAAACTGAGAAAGGAGTTCGGCAAGGCTGTATACTGTCACCCTGCCTATTTAACATATATGCAGAGCACATCATGAGAAAGGTGGGGCTAGATGAATCACCAGTTGGAATTAAGATTGCTGGGAGAAATATCAACAACCTCAGATATGCAGATGATACCACTCTCATGGCAGAAAGTGAAGAGGAACTCAAGAGCCTCTTGATGTAGGTGAAGGAGAGCACAAAAGTTGGCTTGAAACTCAACATTAAGAAAACTAAGATCATGGCATCCGGTCCTCTCACTTCCTGGCAAATAGATGGGGAAGAAATGGAGGTAGTAACAGATTTTATTTTCCTGGGCTCCAAGATCACCGCAGATGGGGACTGCAGCCAAGAAATTAAAAGACGCTTGCTCCTTGGGAGGAAAGCTATGGCAAATCTAGACAGCATACTAAAAAGCAGAGACATCACCCTGCCGACAAAAGTGCGCAAAGTCAAGGCTATGGTTTTCCCAGTTGAAATGAATGGTTGTGAAAGCTGGACCATAAGGAAGGCTGAGCGCTGAAGGATTGAGGCCTTTGAATTGTGGTGCTGGAGGAGACTCCTGCGAGTCCCTTGGACTGCAAGGTGATCAAACTGGTCAGTCCTAGAGGAGATCAACCCTGACTGCTCTTTAGAAGGCCAGATAGTGAAGATGAAGCTCAGATATTTTGGCCACCTAATGAGAAGGAAGGACTCCCTGGAGAAGAGCCTAATGCTGGGAACAATAGATGGCAAAAGAAGGAGGGGACGGCAGAGGATGAGGTGGCTGGATGGAGTCACTGAAGCAGTCGGCGTGAGCTTAAGTGGACTCCGGGGGATGGTGGAGGACAGGAAGACCTGGAAGAATGTTGTCCAAGGGGTTGTGATGGGTCAGACATGACTTCGCAACTAACAACAACAACAACTTGTGTGGGAAACATCTAAATTGACCCTGACATGAGATCATCTCTTATATGTGCAGTTACACATTCATAAATGACCTGAAATATATAATGTGTAATTGCAGATATAACTGTGGTGTTTGTGAGAGCACATGCAACTGCCAGTTTGACTATGCCACCACTGCTTGGTAGAAATTATGTTGTGTGAACCTGGCAAATGTTAAGCAATCCTTGTATAACCCATAGTCTGTTTTAGTTTAATCCATGTTCATCAGGTGTATGCAACTAAATCAGGAACAGGTTGGTACAATGTGGTGCCTGTAGGTGTGATTCTTTGTGAGTTAAATCTCCACACTGAGCTGTCATATGTTCTCCAAACTTGGCCAATTAAATAAAACAAACAACAAAACTGAGGACTCTTGATTGTTTAGATTGATGGCAGGGACAGCATGATGTACTTTTTTACTGCTAGCAACTTAAGAACAGTTTGTTATCAATGCATGTCCCTAACTACTTGCTTATGCTGCATAGTGAAGAAAAACTGCAACGACTACAATACATTCCTAATTAGAATTTTTAAAGTCATCATAAATCCATTAGTCATTGCAACTGTTCATGGAGATATAATAAAGCAAGAAATAAAGTAACCTCCTTTGCAATAAAAAATACTGAGGAATTATGGAACACAGTCAACTAAAGTAATTGGAAAACTCCTTTTCATATGTCAAATGTGAGAGAACAACAACTGCTGGTTGGGGGGGGGGGTCATAATTAAATGGCATAATTAAAGTCCATACCGTAGTTTCACATTTTCTGGCATGAAATAAATCTTAGTATTGTTTTTAATTCCAGGTCTTTCTCCCTTTTTAAAAAAGTAGGGTTAGCAGAAATTATTTTACAATAAATAATGAATGTTATAGTTCAATAGCCAGTAACAGACTGCAGAAACCCCAAAGATCTTTTAGTAACACAGTCCCAGACAATTTTCAGTGAGCTTTATTCTCAAGTAACTGTGAATAAGATCACAGCCACAGAAATCAGAATTACTGCTACTTTCACTAAACAATGTTTAATTTCCTAGTATTTCAAAAACATCCCAGAATTAGAGGTCCCGGAGATCCTTCAGACCCTTTTGCAAGCACTACAATTAAGAATAATATGGAAAAAAGTATTCTGCCTATTTTAAAATCTGCTTTTCTTATATTGATCCATCTTATTCAGAATAAAGAATTCTTGATGTTCATCTGACATATGAAATGTCCTTTTAGCTGGTAGCCTCAATAGTTTTAAGGTTAAGATGTGCGTGAAGTAAAAGATTTCAGGGAGGGTGGGTGGGTGTGTGTCTGTGTGTAGAGCCCTGGATATAAGCACCGAATATGCCATAAATGGTACTTTTCAGCAGACAGCTTAAAAAAACAGTAAAGTTAATAAAATGCCAGAGAACCATAAAAGCTGCAAGTCAACGAGCCTGAGTCTTTCACTTTCAAGACTAAAATACACATGTGCTTTTTTTCAAAAAAACGGACAAGGGATTATGGTAATATATACTTCCACATAAACATGTAAAAGGTAGACTTTACTTGCTGATTAAAGAACAGCACCACCAAAATGAAGTACGACTGGATGACAGAGGCACATGTGTGAGACAGAGAAAGATGGGTTGAGGGAGGGGAAAGGGCCCTGTCTTGGATGAATTCCATCTTGAACTCTTTAAACAAAATGCAGGATACATAGATTTGCAGGATACTCTAACAGGTGATCAAATAGTATGTTTTCAGACATGCTATTGGAAAAACAAAGTATTTCACCTTCCTTAAAAACAGAAGATGGTATATTTTTTTCCTACCACAAGCAACTGGAAGCTATTTGGCAGCTTGGCAGGTCTTCGTGGGTTAATTAACAAAAGATTTGCTTTGGGATGTCCTGCCACCATTTCACATATGCAACGAGGTAAAGGCAGGTGTTGCCACACATTGTAAGATAATTCAGTTCTCTGCCCTCAGATAGTGAAGGAGACTGGACCTTACACATTCCATTCTCTCACTCCATGCACTGCTTCCTTCTCTTTAATGGCAACGAACATTTACCAGTGATCCATGGATTCTGGCTTGGAAGGCAACCAATGACCATAGCTAGCTGATTCAGACATCTCAATGAACCAGAAATACAAGGGGACACTGTGGGAAGGTCATTCCCAATCATCCAAATCATGGAGTTTTGTGTGAATCAAGTCTTTCCAAGCATACCGATCAACAAGTTTAGCTTTGCAGGTTCAAAATAATGAGCTAGCACTGAGACTAGGTCTCTTGACACTTCACAAATGTAGTTTTGTGGTTCTTTTTATCATAAAAAGTTATGCACCACGACTTTTCACTTCTGTTCACTTTTGCCTGGATTTGTGCATAGGACTGAACAGATGAGGAAAATAATGTGGAAGGAGGAGTAAGGAATGCTCTGGTTGCAGAGGCAGATGAGAAATCCCTGAAGAGCATGCAGAGAATTCAGGTTGACAGTTGCATTTCTCTCTTCAACAATGTGCAGTGATAGAAAAAATCTACAGGAAAAAAATGCAATACTTGCACATTAAAAAGTTCCTGGAAAGCTTGGGCAAGCTCAGTAGGAAGGAACTAATAAAACTGCCAAATACACATCCATGAAGAGACAATATGTACAGTATTACATATGCACAGTAAGGTTTTTAAATGCTAATATATAAATACACCCATGTAATACATGTCATAGCTGGAAAGTCAAAGTTCTGGAAGGAGTAACTTGTTCAGTTTTTTGAGACAAATATGGACAACTCATTACTAAAGACAGCATTGGTATAACAAAGGGGGTTCAAGGGAAAATGCAGTTAAAACTAAATGAAAACACTGTTAATTCCAGCACACAAAAACTGCTAGAGAGAGAGAGATTACGCTCTCAAGCAGAAGCGGCAGACACAATGAAGGAAGTGTGTCTTCTCTTTCTTGCTTGTTCCTTGCAGCCCATGGGTTGCAGTTATGCATGAATCAGGGTTTGTGGAATTACTAAGACAAATCAATTTCTTATTGTTTTTCAGTACTGTGCAAGCTGTGTCTAAATTAAGTAAAAGGATATGTAAAGCATTAGGTCAAGTGATTCATTCTCTATATTTGCTCTAATAAAATAAATTGCCTGAGATATGCTATTGCGGAAAGGAACTCAGGCTAAGAACACAAGTTTTTGCCTTACACTACGTCAGGCCATTGGTCCATTTCGTTCTGCATCATATATACTGGCTGATGGCTGGTTTTTCTTACCTGGCCGAAGATTAACCAGGGACTGTCTGCCTGCAAAGCATGTACTCAACTACAGACCCATAGCCCTTGCCCTTACATTTCAGATGTGCCAACAGCAGGCAAATGCAGCTTTGACCCAAGAACTTCACACACAGGAAATTTGCTATTCTAAGAACAGCTACAAGGAAAGTATGGATAGGAATGAGTACAAGTCAGCTGAATAAGAAATAAGAAAATACAGATCCAGTTAAACAGATTGCCTTAAGGCAAGAAGAAATTAAATTAAGAGTAGTTTAAAAAAACAAAACCTTTACACGGTAAAGGAACTTTATACGGTAAAGGAACAGTTTCTATTTAACTATACTGAGTTACAAGGAAAGCAAGATGGTGGAAACTAAGGGAGGACTGGGCTAGTTTTCCACTTGTAAAACTTACACTGTTTATGCTAAATTTACTTGTGTTCTCCATTTGATAGACCTTAATTCCCACTACTTTATTTCTGAGTTTTACCCTCAAAACCTTTTGCTTCATAGCTGCAGAGTTGCATAGCTATATTTTTCAGAAGACAACCACTATTATTACATGATAGAACCAAGTTGATATTTTCTCGATCCTTGCTTCTGTAACTTTACTCGGCTCCCAGAAAATAAAATGTCTGTTCCTCCAAAGCCCAGTTCCTTGCCAGGAGTGTATTCTGGTCTCCAGTGGCTGCTTTATCTTCTACTTCAGGCATGGACATCTGATATAACTGCACAGAACTGAACTTTGCTTTTCTTTGCACTGACTGGAGCTGGTTGTATGACATGACAGCCCTCCATGAGTTATTTAACCTACCCTGAAGTTGTGGCATCTGTGTGCTCCATTTTAAATATCCAATCCCCACTTGGTTTGAGTGTTTCATGTGAACCTAGTGAGCATGCATTCTGTGAGGGTTAAACAGCATGGGACACTGCAGCTTGTCAAGTATTAAATAACCTACTATGAGCTGTGTACTGGTTGAAACCAGACACTTGGGCTTCAGCCTTTGCTGAAGTGAGGCCCTTGTGCTTGTTATGGTGGACTTCTGTGGTGGCAGACTTTGGATTATACAGAGAGATCGTCTCTGTCTCATCTTTCTATTCCCCCTACCTTATCAACTAATATATATAAAAAATAACAATGTCACCATCTTACATATGATACATTTGAAGTTTGAGCTACACAACATTATGTGGACTCTTTTAACCATGTACTCACTTTGTATGATATACAATGTGTGCATGCAGGATCATCTTGTAGAATCTTTTAAATTGTACATGACAGAACAAATCCACTACGTGATAAAGCATGCAGCTGACATGAGCAAGTTCCTTTGCATACAGTGGGACTTACTTCTGAGTAAATTTGCACAGTATTGCTCTACATTGGTGTAATTTACTTTGTAGTTTATCAATTTGTCCTCTGAAGGGATCTACAAGCAGAAGTGTATACAACTGATTGTGAATTATGCATGAATACGTGTAAAAATGTTGCCACATTATGGTTAGAACACAAGAAACTTCTTAAATTGGGCATGACCTGCCTTGATGCTTCACTATAAATTTTCATTTTCTATAGTGCTTTTGAGTCTACTTTGTTCCTAGTGAAATTTGTCTTTGAAATTAACATATGAGTTCTTGGCTATCAAAAAGTAATCCAGAGAAAGTATTAACAAGTACTTTAAGCAGTGGTGGTTACACCTGAGGTACGTTGGGTTTTGCTGCCCTCTGGTGCTCAGTGTCCAACATGTGCAACTGAAACAAGAAAACTGAAAAACAATTCAAAATGTGGCTAGCATAGTTTAAAAAGCACATCTTTAACTAGTTAATGCAGAATTTGTTTCTGTAAACTATTGTTATGAGTGGTATTTAGTATTGCTGCATAGCCAGTGCAAAATCTGTGGCAGGAGAAAAAAAAATAATGATTTTTTTGAATGGATTAAATGTAAAATTTAAATTGGTCTTTGCTTTTTAAAATTTAAGTACCAAATTTCTCTTAAGAATATTTTAGTTAATAATAAATAATCTTAGTAATACAGGTAGCTAGCAAGATTATCCATGAAGGAGCATATTGTCTAATAATGCTCTAATTAAAAAATAAGTTACACAAAATAGTGCCATATATATGCAATTTAATTTTAAACTAACATGGGTTTGTTCCATTGTTTAGGAAATATGTGAACTAGTAACGTCCGTATCAACAGAGGTCCAGGTAACACCAGTCGCCTGCAGTGCTCATTCATTACTAGCTTTGGTTGGTATGACAAGTCTACTCATTCAGCAATAGGGATAGCCCAGCTACTATCAGTATGATAGATTGGGTTACCTCGCTATTAGACTACTGTAATTCACTTTGAGAAATTGCAGCTAGTACTGTAACTGTGTAACATATTGTAACTTTTAACATCATAATATTTTAACATATTGTGTTAAAATGGATGCAGTGGCTGCTTATTAGCAGCAAGATGATATCCAAGGTTGTGCTGTTGACAGATAAAGCCATACATCAACAATGGAATGTTGCCGGCTGGCTAATAAGACAGACAGACATGCTTGGCTCTGTATCAAAGCCAAGTCCCAGAAGCACAAAGGTGCCAGAGGCAGAAGCAGTGCAACCCCGTCTTGCTGCTTTAGTTTCTTCTTGCTCAAGTTCAAAGGGACACACACAATGAAAAACCAAGGTGGTGAATTTCTCTGTGGGCCATTTTATTATGGCAGCAGCCTCTATTCTGAATATCTGGGGCACTGTGGAGGCATGTCATATGGATGCCTGAGGAAGCGAGGATCAGAGGGCCTGAGGGAAACATGTAAGGTTCTGAAAAGAATTCTGGTAAAAAAGTGGATCTTGAAAGAAAGGAAGTAATGAGGAAGCCTAAGGAACAGTACGGCAGAAGTGCAAGCAGATGGGAGTAATTGTGCTTGAGTATAACAGAAGGAATAAGAAGCGTGCTACAGATAGAGTTCTGTCTCTCGCTCCCTAAGAAGCAGAACCAACACAGTACTCCGAATATTGGCAAGGGGCAGCAAGCTGGGAGAGAGTTGGGGAGGAAAAGAGAAAATATCTAGCGAGAGATCCAGAATCAATTGTTGAAGTTAGAGCAGTTTCCTCAGCCTGGAATGCCAAACCTGTACCTGTTTACAAGTAAAGCAGAAACTGACTGTATCTTACATTTCTTTCTGTAAAACATTAACAAACATTTAGTTTTACTATTAACTCTGAGTGTCTGAGTGTCTAGAAAAAATAATTTGAGCGTAGAAAGAAAAACATGGAAGCAAAGGAGTTAACTAATTCAGGTCATCATCATCATAGTTAGTGCTGTTGGGGCCAAAGGCTTGGGGTGAGAGTGGAGTCCTTGGGCCACTGCTGGTGTCCTTGGCAAATCAGGAAGTAAGCCCCTGTGAAGGTAAGCCCCTGAGGCAGATAGTGACCTGAGTGTGGTGCCCATAACTTAAGCAAGGGAGTTGCAGGAAACTAAAGATGAAGGTTGCCAAAACACCCAACAAACACACTATTGAGGGCTTCCATGGGAGCGAGGGAGGGATGGGGATGTCACAGTGTAAGATTACTCTGTGTAATCTGGTTAACTGGTGGAAGCAGTTAATAAAAATGCTGTGGTTGGTGTTGTCACCACAAAGGGCTTCAATAGGGAGATCAGGAAGGGGGTCTAAAGGATGGGACAGTAGAAAAATGAGAACAAGAACACTTAAATAAAAAGACATAAATCTAGTGCATAGTATTTGGAAGACTAGATCAATAATATTCATGAAATAAAGTGGAAAAGATAGCAAAAAGAAGAGAAGCAGCATATGAAGCAAGAATACAAAGAAGGCAAAGATTAAAATGGCTGGGGACTTTGGGTATCTACTGAACACAGAATATGTCATAATTAGCAACTGTCTCTCATTCCTATGCAATCAAACCAAGCAGAAAAGAGAAAGAAGAATAGCCTTGCTGCCCTCTCTATCTATTATGTCAGGTAGAACATCACACTTTTACTACAGAAATCTCATACATGAGTAATGTGCAATGGGAAAGATGTGCCACTCTTAGTGACCACATGGAAAGGTTCTCAGTGGCATGACCCTACAACTCCTTGAAGTGGGAAACAAGCAATCCAGGAGAAATGAAAAATGACTGCAAGCTGGCATGAGTCTGAGATGACAGGACAAACAAAGCAGGGAGATCAGGCACTGTGCCTGAAATATGCTTGACTTGGAAGGCTAACAGAATATCCCAAAGGGATAGTCAGCAACAGCTATGAGGATAAAGAGGTGGTGTGGGGTAGGACGCTCACTTACTGCTGTTGGGTCCTTTCGATGAAGCTGAGCTGCTGTCACTTGTGTGAAGCCACCAGGGTAACTGTAGGACAAAATAAAAGCAAATTTAGAGGTATATCTTTCTTGACAGCAATTTTTCACATCCAAGGATCCTATTTATTTTCTTTCTCACCTTCAGTATCCTAGTTTTTAACCTACACTGTATATGACATCACTCTGTCATGGAATGTGGAAACCAGGATGTGGAAGAAACCATGCCAGATATGCATGGCTCCCATACTGGAGGACAGAGGTATGAGGATAGCTGTCTATACCGGCTGACATTGAACAGTCTTACTTAAACAGATGGGGAAACTTAAGAGGAAGTAACTGGTCACTATTCTTTGCCAAGGTCAATTTCCTTAGTGCTCCTGTTGTTTCCCTATTGTCCTCAAGACTAAACAACTGAAGCTTTTCTGCAATGCCAAAAGCCCTTTCCTGTTTGCTTTCCTTTCTTTTCCTAAAGGGCAGGCAAACCTTGCAGCTGCAGTCTCAGTTTTTTTTTCACCTTCTCTCTTCAGCTTAGCAGAGGACAAATTTTTACCCTTCCTAGTTTCCTTCCATTCTTCCTCCCAAACATAATCATCAAATTCCTCATTATCCATCTTTTTCCTTGGAGGCTGATGCTGACCCCAGTCAGTTGTACATGCTAAGCCAGGGCTGCAACAACCATACCCGGTTTCCAGCAGACTTGCCACATGTTGAGTATGTATAGGTATGAGAGTTCCCTACTCACTGTGATGCATCTCAGGCCCAGAGGCCCTCAATTTCTGGCTACTGTTGGTAACTGTAACAAAAACTGTGGCCATCAGGACCCTGCCAGTCTGCTTGCCCCTGGCTTTGTGCTATACCATTGTGCAAGGTTAGGCCCAGCTCCCTAATTCGAACTAGAAATAGTGGTGGGGCTTGCTGGCTTTGTCCCTGAGCAAACCTCAGCAGACAAAAAGCCCTTAGTTTTCCTCTCAACTTTGGAGCTAAAGAAGGGGTGGCAATCCTAACCTAACTGTGGGAATGATAGCTGTCTACCTCTGCAGCTCTAAGCTTGCAAGGAAGACTAGGGTGTATTCTACTTGCTGGAGGGTAGCAACACATGTACTAAGGTGAATGAGAATGCAGAATCCTTCACCAGCTGCTGAAAAAAAATATTTGCTTAAGAAGTAATATCAAAAGTACTTGCACACATTATTGGAAAAATATAGTTATTTAAAAATATAGTTTTGCTTTGTAAAGAACTTTAACAATATGACATATTAAAAGTAAAAATAATAAAATATTTTCATATTTGCACGAGTGTACTGATTTGTTCAAAATCTTATTCTAAAGATTGTGACAAACTTACCCAGTATGTGATGAATACACTTTCTGCTCCCATTTGTTGCCAGAAAAAGCAATATGACGTGTGTTTATTATGACAACGTGATCACCAAGGTCACCTAATAATTTAAAAATGGTTCTTAGTTATTAAGATCATCAGTAGCCAAACAGTTCCAGTGATATTGCATAACATTGTTAGAGGGTCACAATAGGAAATGACTTAACTATCACACCTCAAAAGAATTATTTTTAATGGCATCCACTACTAGTAAAGCAACGGGTATGCAAAACCACCATGTGCAATGTGCAGTCAGCAAGCTACACCACTTGCGCTCAGCTTGAGGTTCTTGATATAAAAGAAATTGAAGATAAAGAGAATTCCAGCTATTGCTTTGGAAAGGTGTGAGGATAGAAAGAAATTCTTTTTATTAACCTTTTATTGTCCAATAGATGAAAAAGCAATTAGAACACAGCATTAACAAAAACTGAAATGCTACAATTTTTGAATAAAATGCCATAGTATCTATAGGACCAATTACATAAATGTTACATATCTCTATTATTATTATTATAACATTTCTATATGTTAGTATATAGCAAAACATGCTATGATTATGAAATAATTGTGTGTAAACTTCAACAAAAGTACCCCTGCCCATTGTGTTTTTGCATGTAATCGTTTATCATTCCAGTGTTGTAATATTAGTCTTTCAAGTTGTCATAAAGGGACAGAAAATCCATTTAGTTTGACTTTGTGGTAAATTCAAAGACCTGGGTAATTAATTCAAAGGAACATGTGCATAGCTGAATATTAAAGACCTTCAAATCACAAGATTTATCTGAATTATTATGTACTCCTAAAAAGAAACTGTCATTGGGCATTGCCAAGACATAGGAATAAAAGCATAAGCAGCATTTCACCTCCAACAATTGGCAGGATTTAATTAAGCCCTTATTAGTTAAGATCACCCAGTATTCTCAAATCATATTTTTTGTTGAATTAAGATCTGTGAGCCCCTGCAAAATAGATAATAATGAAGCACTCCATTGACTGGGCAAGATGGCATGTTCCAGTTCATTATCCTATGCTATACTTACCATTCATTATTCTGTTCCTGTGTCTGATATTTACCCACTAACACAATACACTATTTATTCACTAACAATACATAGTTGGTGTAACTGTACAACCTCAATCAATACTTCCAATAGCACAGGCAGCTCTGACGCCTAAAAGCAGCAGGACTAAGCATGTATTCTAAGAAAAGTTTCAACTGCATACATCACCAAGCAGCCATAGCTGGCAACTTTACTTAGCACATAAAGCAGTAAATGGTAGCAAATTATTGTCGGGACAGCAGAGCTGATTCAAAGAGAAAATAAGCCTGTCCTTCCAATTGGGTCTGCTAAACATTTTCTTGCTGATTTTAAAATCTGGATTTCCCAACCAGTTGTTACTATGCCACAACTGACTACCTTCTACAACTGGAGAAGGCTTATTATCTATTTTGGTATGATGACTACCTAGTGCAATCCCCTTTAGGTGGAGCATTCTGAACTTGGCTTCAATTGATGGTCAGCACTGTAGCATGCCATCTGTTCATAAGCAATTCTATTCTATTCTGATTCACCAGCATCAGAATGCACACTGTTCTTGGATCTTGCAAAGAATCCTTGATTAGATGGGTCTTCATCTGATCTAGAAAAGCAATTCTTAACAAAGCATACCTACTCTGGTTCCACTCAAGTCGCATTAATTATGCTTTAAGAGCAAGGATATACCACGTATGCTTTTTGCATTGTAAATTTAAATACACACTCATGTTAGCAGATGAATCAACCATGTAAAACTGGCCATCCTGCACTTGCTTTAAACCATTAAAATAAATCAATGCTAACAACATGTTTCAGTCTAGAGCAGAACTTACTCAGTGCATGGTAGATGGGTTTATGCTTCCCTTGAAGTCGGAGGGCAGCGATGGCTGCAATTTTTCCTGGTGGTTGCATCTTGGCATCTAAAAGGTACCAGTATCGTGCAAATGTGGCCCATTGCTTAAGAAAAATAATTTCAGTGCAGTTAATATATGGAAATAAATGCATTTAATCCAGTGACCCACCCCACTACACTTGATCTAACATTATGAACTAAGGATTGCTAATTAAAATTCAATCTTTAAAATAATATGCATGACCAACCTGCTTAAAAAGAGAATCTACTGTTCTTTAGGGGCCAATCCATGCTGAAAACATATCAGAATTAAGAGCTGACAATCTAACATTTAAATCCTTAAGAAAAAAATGGAAAATTATTGTGGCATTCCTGTTACAGTTCTTCATTTTTTCTGTATTTCAAATTACATCCTATCTTTGGAACTAACTACATTCTATGCAACGCAAGTGTACCTACACGATATAAAACACCACTTCCAACTTGGCAGAACAGCATACTTGAGACCAAACCCATTTGAAGACAGTGGGAATCACTTCTTAGAGAACATGCACAAAATTCATGTAATTACAGACAAACAAACACAAAAGCGATTAAAGGTGCAACCTTACAGATATTTGGAAAGTAAAAAAGTCTTACAACTTCCAGCTGGCTTGGGAATGCTGGGAGTTGCGGAATTTTTCTTTTTTCAACTTTTCTTAATATGAACTACATATTCCCCTAAATTCCACCATGTTTGATCTTAAAAGGTCTGTCTTAGGCGCACATTTTAATCCCTAAAATGGGGAAGGATGCACAAAAGCGGCTGGGAGAAAAGGGGTGAAGCCTAAGCCAAGCGATTTGACCTTCTGAAGAACCACCGAGGGCCAGACGGGGACTCAGACACGAAGCTTTGCATCTCTGGCAGGCTTTAACCCCCGAAAGCTCCGTTTAAAAAGAAATCAGGTCCATCGCGCCATCCTACGCGTGTTTACCGAGAGCCCCACTAAGTTCAACGGTGCTTGCTCCCAGGTAGGAATAAAAAGGATTTTGTCAACAGCCCAGAGAGCTCCATCTACTGCAATTCCGGGATTAATTAATCCACCGATGCATCCGGGGCTGCGTTTCCCAAAGCGCTGAGCCCCGCGAAGAAGCCTCGGTTTCGGCCACGGGACGCGCAAGGCCGCAGGCCCGTTTTCTCGCGGGCGATCGCCGCCCGATGCCTCGAGGCCTGCGCGCTCCTCGGCAGGCCGGGCACGGGGCTCCCCGCGGAAGGCGCAGCCCGCGGCGGGGCCGAGAGGCGCGCTCACCTGCGCGGCCTTGGTGTAGCTCGACATCGCGGCGCCGCGGCGCTCGGGGACGGAAGGAGGGCGGCCTCGGAGCGGGGCCGCGCCGGCTCCTCACTGGAAGCGGAAGCGGCGCGTCAGCCGAGGCGGGCTCGCTGGGCGGGGAGGCGAGGCCCGGCCCGCTCAGCGGCGCGCGAGTTTCGAAGGGCGGCGCGGCTTGGATCATGGAGCGGTACCTTCTCTTCATGAGGTGGCGGGCCCGGCGAGGCGAGGCGGGACCCGGCGGCCTCTCAGGTAGGGTTTCGAGGCAGCGGTTCGGGTGGCTGTCGGAAGCCGCTTCCATGCACGTTTCCATGTGCGGGCCTGTGTCGGTCGTTCGTGGCAGACGTGAGCAACGAGGAGTTGCTCGCGGACTACAACTCCCATCAACGGCGCCCGCCGTGGGGGACGCGGGGGGAGTTCTAGGCCCAAGCCTTGTGCAACGGAGGACGGCAACCTGCCGCCTTTGGCCCACGATGCCCATTTGCTGTAACCAGCAAGGGCAGTGGTAAGCGGGGAGGGGAGATCTAGGCCCAAACAGGAGTGGACCTTCCAGATGCTGTTTAATTCAGGATGAGCCCCGATGTGGATAGTGCTGCTTCTGACTGAAGAGTTCCCAGTTGACCTAATGGAGGTTGTGTAGTCAAAGACATGGCTGCGTGTGAGCCACGGCCTGCTTAGTGGTTTAGGTAACACACAATGAGCTAGCAATGCTGTGAGACCCACCTTAACAGTGGAGGTTACCATTCCGCAGCTCCTAAATACAGTCAGCCAATCAGATCTGGCAGGCTCCCTCCTCCTTACCATCACATCATTTGCTCTCTTGCATGGTTTGTTTTCACTATGGAGTGGTGGTTACTGGCTATCATTTGAGGAACATGAAAAATGCTCTTGAGACAAAAAAGCCATGGAGACTGCAAAAAGGGGTCATGATCACAGTGGAGAATGTGAGCTAGTGGCAGTTGCTCCAAAGTGCTGCTTGGGCATTTGGTGGAGCTGCCATCAGTGGCGTTGGCCTGTGCAAACTTGGCAAGAGCAACAGGGGTTTCTGCTGCTCTCACCTAGCAGCTTTCTTATTACTTCACTGAATGGTTTGATGACATGTCAACCCTTATTGGCTACAACAGTGCCCACCCTGGTTTGGGAAGGTGGTTTGTTGCCCCAAAACAAGCCACCCTGTTGAAAATAGTTTAGATTTGCATGACATGACAAGCCAGTGTACCTGGTTACCCATGATGGGTTTTCATGTCATGTAAGCTCACTCATTGTGGCATACGGGATGCTTTAGGTTTCAGGTTAGACAGCACAAATTTTGTTGATATGAATATTGTGTTCAGTGCATGTAAACCTAAACTAGTGTTTTTGCAGGTTTAACAGCTGAAAATATTTATGAGTTGCTAGAAGCAAACTGTAATGCAAAACATGAAAATTTCCCAGGTAAGTGATGTCCAATAAACATATATTGCCAGGCAATGGGAAGAGAGATGGGATAGATATCTCCAAATGTTGGTGCTTGGGGGCTTTGCAAAAGCACCTGATGATTGAGAAATCATGTGGATTTTAAATAGTCTCAAGTCTGTGCTTTGGGAAATAGAAATGTCTGCTTTGCAGTGTAAACTTGATATAAGTTGTTTAGGGACCCACCAATGATGATAACTGAACCTGAGCCAGTAGAAAACAAGAAAGTGATACTGCATCAAAAGCTCAAGGTATTTTTATGGTAGATGGAAAGGCATAGTGAATGATGCAACAAGAAAGCACGTTGGTTTGAAATAATATTGTGCTTTTGCTATGCATATTTGATGCAAGTTTTAACAAAGGTTATTTAGAGTGCAATCTAGGGCTGTCTGCTGTAGATGCATGCAAGCCTCTGTACTTTGAGACTTTTGTACATCCAATATGAAGTGTGTTGAAAGCAGTTTTCACTGTTCTTGTGCCTTGCTCCCTGCATTTCATCTAGATGGCCATTTTGTCCATGGAGCTGTGGAGACTGGGCATAAGCCATGGGCTCCGACCTCCTTCTGTTCCCCTGGAATGCTTCTTTTCCTCCTCTTTGGGGCTGATTTTTGGATTTGTGGGGGCAGCCAGTATGGTTCTGTTTTTCCTGCCTGTGAGGAGGTGGGATGGGAGCTCCAAGCCTGGAATTCCAGCTTCAAGATTACAGAAACTTGGAGCTGGAACTTGGATTAATATTGTGTGCCCTTGTCCTTGTCCCCCTCCAGACAATGTTGGGAGGCCATAGCATTGTGCCCTCAGTTACTAATTGTGCATTGCAGTTCTCAAGTGATTAACTCAATCACTGAGGGCCATTAAGCATCTTTGAAGAAAGAAATTATTTGCATTTTCTATTTTGCTAATGCACTTGTGCTTCTCCCTTTAGCATGCTCAGTTGTTGGGGTTCCGAGTAAGAAGGAATGGTATTTCGCAATTCAGTCAATATGTGGATTTTCACAGGTTAGTTAGTAAAATCGTATAATTATCTAAAATGTTAATATGAATTGTCCAACCCTTATAGAATTTTCTTTTTATTAACTAGTTCTGCAGTTCTGACTGGGAAGACATTAATTTTGACCTAGAGACAGACCAAAGCAAAAATACTATTCAAAGAAATATTGAAGAATGCCTTGGTGATATACAAAGTACTGAGGAAGAAGATAGTAATAGCCAGGAATCTGTATCACTCATTGAGTAAGTTGATCATTTTTATTAATACATTTTACAGTATACTTAAATCATATCAGAAAAGAAAAGAAAACAAAAGAAAAGGCAAGGCAAGGCTGCAACAAAGAACCATGGAAACTAACCCACATTCTGTCAATTTCTGGAGGTTGCTCATCCTTCCCCAAATCCTTCAGTAAAATAAATAGTGAAAGAAACTGAAGAAGTCTGGCCAGTATCCCAGGCTGGGATACACATCAGTGATACGCATCAGCCACTTAAGAATCAATCATTTTGATTCAGTACATACAAAAGATGGTTTGCTTACCACAGAAGAACAAGTACAGGATAACTAGTGTAGGATGCTGCTTGTGAGTGCGAAGAAAATTGACTGGGGCTGAATAGACAAAAAGGAAGGCTTGTGATAAGGTGAGCTTCTCTTGTAAGATTACAACATATGGTTGGAGGCTATTAGGCTGCAGTTGGCAGGTGCTGCGAACCACCAGTGTAGGTCATTCAGATGAAGAAGTGTGTGTGCACATGCACATGTTGTATGTTAATCTGCAGTAGCCATAAGCAATAAGACAATTAATTGTTTGTGCCTTTATTTAATTTGCATGGCATAGCAGAATGCAGCATTATTGTATGAGAATTCACTAAAACAAAATATAAAATGTGTATAAAATGTAAATTAGTTTAAAATAGGAGCCGTAAAATATTTCACTGAAGTCAGCACTGACCCATGCTGCTAAATGTTGGAATACAGATCCCAATCATAAGATCAGCCCCTAAGCCCCGATGGAACTTTCAGAAAGCCAATGGGAAGGCATTTGCTGCTGAACTTGATCGCAACATTCAATTCTGTCATTGATATAGGTTCAGTGAAGTTATTCAAAGTGCTTTCTTGATCTGGCTGTGTGGGATATCAGCTGATGCAGTCTGAAGATGTGAATAAAGTGTGTGGAAGGTGCAGCTGATTGCCAGTATTCTTGTTCTGTTGACAACTAACTGCAGGGATGTGTCCCAGATATCATTACTAGATTTACAAGAGGGGGTATAGATTCTCTGAAAAAGACCACTCCTTTAAGAAAGCCTTTTTTGGACCCAGGTGATCTTCAAACCATGGTCTAGTTATTAATACCCTCTTTGGGGCTCCTCACCTTGTGAGGAGGTGCTCTTGGATGGAGCAGGTGGTCTGATTCATTTCAGTCTAGCTTCAGGCTTAGATTTGGCAGTGAAGTCATTTTGGTCACCCAGTGCTTGCTTCTTGACCTCTCAAGCAGGTTTTGATAACATCAGCCATGGTATTTCTGTGGGTTGGATGTGGGAAGCATGTTTATAAAGGGATCCACATCAACCTGGTTTCAGAAAGTGGTACTGGAGACCTCAGAGCAAATTGCAAGGGGGTTTGTCTGGTTCTATATTATCCCCCAGGCTTTTTAACATCTATATGAAGCTATGAGATTATGTCAGCAGGTGATTTGGAATTAAGTGTCAGCAGTATGCCAGAAACACTTGGTTGTATTTCAGCTGAGTCAGGGAGGCAATGCGGATACTGAACCAATGTCTGAATTTGGAAATCCAACTCTACAGAATAGTAGAGTTGGAAGGGGCCTAGAATGCCACTGGGTCCAACCCTCTGCTAGTGTAGGACACCAAGTTACACCATCCCATTCAAATGTAGTTCCAGTTGCATCTTGAATGCCTCTAGCACCTTTTTCCAGAATTGTTTGCTTGTGCCATAAGATCTTCATGCTATACCTTTAGTATATCATGTGAGAACAAGAAAGAGTCTAATTGGTTGTGGTGCCGTGATCTGAAATACCTTGACTGACATTCACATTCACAGGTCAAAACTTATTTGTTTGACCAGGATTTTAAATTGGTTTATGAAACTGCATGTTGCTATATTATATATTTTCTTCAGTATTTGTTACAGTCTTACTCTACTCTTATTTTTTTTTCTGTTGTTACTATTTTTTAAAGTAAGCTATTGGTGTTAACACAAGGGGGAGCCTGTTAGTATCTAACATGCTAAGCAGAAACTATTTTCTCTGCTAATAAAGCAGTTGTAAAAACACGTAACTGGAATAATCTGCTGCTGAACTTAGCGGGGATTACTGCTGAATGAGCATGCATAGTACTGAATTAGTAGCAAGGCAAAAATAGTAATAGAGTAGTTAGTAGTTTAGACAGTGATTGGGGTGCTTCACAATCAATGCCAATCAAAATGCATTGGGCAGCTGTTCTGTCTTGCTTCAACAATTTTTTTCCTGAAAAGTTCAGGAAGAATGATTGGGAAAACATGGAAGTCTGCATAAGAGAGATGATGTTGTCTGGGTCTCCTGTTAAATCCTGTGATTTAGTTGCACAATAAAAGCATCATCTCAAACTAGCTTTGAGTTTTTGACTGCTGTTATGAGCAGGTAATAATTTAAAAAGCAAATTATCAATCAACTTTGTGAGAATGCTTTCATAAGAATGTTATTGGCTTACTGCTCTTCTGTTTTAGAGAGCTTTTATAGGACTCAGTCCCAATGAAAACAACTGAAATCGGCAAATCCATTAATATTTCGGTTTCCTATACTGTCTGGACACTTCCAAAGGCAGTTTCCCACTTCTTATCCTAGTGCAACGCCAGTGCAGAGCTCCCCATCCTCCTTGGAAACATAAAAAGCCGTGCTGGATCATCCCAGTGCTCCATCCAGTCCAGCATTCTGTTCAGACAGTGGCAAACAAGCCTCTCATAAGATCCCACAAGCAGCATGGATACAAGTGCTTCCCCTGTTCAAACTCTCTAGCAACTGGAGTATGCAGGCGTATTGCCTCTGATAATGGAAGCAGCACATAGCCAGCAAGACTATTACTCACTGATACCCTTCTTCTTCATGAATTGTCTAGCCCCCCTTTAAAGCCATCCAAATTGATGACCATCACTACTTCCTGTGGCAATGTGTGAAGGCGTCTTTCTTTCATCTGTCTTGAATCTTCTGCCAAACACCTTCATGCAGAAGACCCCACTGGGTTCTGGCATTATGCAAGAGGAAGAAAAAAATTCTCTCTCTACTTTCTGCATACCATGCATAATTTTGAACACCTTTATCATGTCTGCTTGAGAAGCCACTAGATCAGCATTGTCCTCAACCAGCAAGTGTGCACTGCACCACCAGGGCTGTGACAATGCTTTATGGCAAAAATAACAGCAGCAGCAGTAAATGCACCTGTTCTGTCTGTGAATTATACACATTATGGCTATACTATTTTTTCAGGAACTGGGGTAGCTTTGTTGCCAATAATATGTAGTTAAGACTTGTAATCTTATTAGTTTATAAACCATAACCTAAAATCTGAAATGAGATTTCCGAACTATGAGCAGTGATTATGCAAAATGCACATATGTTTTCTTGGTGTGACTGTGTCAACCACCTGTTAGTGTTCATGATAAGTAACATCTGCTCCCTTCTCTCTCCATACAACTGTGATACTAAACAGCTCTGAGCTTAGGACCTGGCAATCCTACAGTTCAGTAAACATTCTGCACATTTTTTCTCATGTAAGATTTAAACTTACTGCAGCAAATGACTATCATTTCATTTTAATGGTGTTGTCTCATTCCATAGGAGTTCTGTTCCTATAGTGTTTCTCAAGAGTGGAGAGGAAGGAGTAATTCACTCATAGACTAGCTGGTAATTTGAGAGGGTTGGTATTGAATTCATTGGCTAAAATGGTACTTGCAGGTTTCTCATTAGGAATGTTTCCTAGTGTGAAAATAAGGGAATGCCTTGATAGCCAGCATGGTGCAGTGAGTAAGGCATTGGCCTTGGGAGTTCTAGATTCTAGTCCCCAGTTGGTAATGAAACTCACCAGATGACTTTGGGCCACTCACTTGGCATAAACTACCTCACAGAGTTGTTGCGAAGTTAAAATGGAGAGGACTGTGTTAGCTAAGCTGGATCCCTTACAAGACTAAAGAAGGCACCTATAATAATAAATGCTAATATTTGAATGGTGTAATATATTTAATAATGAATTTAACCATTTTTAATTGTTATATTTCAGTCTCTATGAAGAATCTGCAGAGGGTATACATCTGTTAGCAGATAAACTTCCTGCTCCTGGTAAATTCAACATTTTGTAGATCAAAAGTCTTTCTCCCCCCCAATATTTTACATTTTTAATATTTTAAATTACATTTTCATTATATTGTTTTTGTTACAGTCATGTTTATTATACATTATGCTGACTATTGATATACTGAATCTCATGCAAGTAGTCTTGCACATTGTCTATCTCACCCATATAAAATCTACTTGATCTGGTAGGTAGTTCCATATTTCTAGAAAGCTTGATAGTGGAACTGTGGTGAAATGTGGGTGTCAGACACATATACAATGCCTGAGCAGTCCAATTGGGGGTTCCTGTATCACATCCAAACCTGAACACTATAGGTTAATTAAACAATCCACAGTTAACTTAAGCACTAATTGTAATTCATTCACAATTATCATAAAAACACTTGCTGGGCCACCTTTTAAATCCTTGAGTTTCTACGCCAGGATAGTTGGGGAACTTGGAACTTTGTAAGATAAGGAAGAATTCTGTAGTTTTCGTACTTATTTAGTGGTGCTGAACTCAACTTCCATGCCTAAAGTCAACCCTGTATTTCATTGTGCCTAGAAAATAGTACCTCCTGTTTTGGAGCCCAGTCCATTTCATCCCAGAGAAAAGAAGCAACACAAGCTAGATGGATTTATTTCATTCTGCATCTGCTTTGGATATACCCAGAACTCTAGGCGAGCAGACTTGTGTACAGGGGGAAGAAACTAAGGGCAAGGAGGTTACAAAGGTGACCATTAGTGTTTGGGTAAAAGAGTGTACCTCTCTGGTCTTCCAGGCCAAATCTCATCCTGCCTCCTGCCCAGAAGCATTGCAGCTCAGGCCTTTCAGAGGACAGCAGGTTAAACTGCCCCACGCAACAGCCCCATTGAAAATATTTCTAGAGCAGGCACTTCAGCACATCCTTCCACTTTCATGTCAGTGCAGAGCAGGCAATTTTTCATCTTCAGAAAGCTTATTTCAGTAGGAAGTTCTTGCACCAGGTGTTATAGCCATTTCCACTTTTTCTCCTCTCTGTAAGTATATTAATTTTGGATAGCCTTTTACTGCCTGCTGCACTCTCCTGCTGACTAGCAATGGAGAATTGGATTTACTCTGAGGTGTCTGTTTGGTGAACAGGGCTCTCTGGTTTTGACAGCTTTCAATAAGTTAGGAGATCAGGATGCAGATCTCTGTTAGTCAGGGACAGTGCAGGAAGGTTTCCTGTCCTTCATGGCTACCTCTTTTCCCTGAAGTGTTTACTTTGAAATATGGAGAAGATATGTTTGTTTTATATCCTTCACTTTGTCAAATACTAATACTAAGAGGGACTCCTCTCTCGGAGGGGTGCAAAATCTTTCCAATTTGGCCCTTGACATCTATTCAAATGGGGGAGTTAACTGCAGAAGGGGTTTTCAGTGTTAGATTCAGCTTTTCGTTTGATGCTGCTACTAACCACACGTGATTGATAACATATATGTATGATATATTTCTGTCAAACTTGCTTCTGCAGGAAAGGCGATGGTTGATGTAATATTTCAGTCTTCAGAAAGAGAGGCCCCTAGACTAAAAGACTGCTTACCTGTTCTTGGTGCCTTGAAACATATGAGAGAATGGCATGCAGCAAAAATCACTATTGTAGCAAATGAAAGTAAAACGTGAGTCTTGGTGTCTAAATCATTCAAATTAAAGAACTCATTTGGGAACAGGAAGTTGCGTCACTCCTACATAAAAATAATATTTCATATGAAGCTCAAAAAGTGTCCTATTTCAGCAGGCGCTTTGAAAAATAAAATGCAAGTTTACCTGCAATGAGTTGACAAAAAGTAGCATACTTCCACAAGATGATTATCTTGGGCAAAGGGAGATACTTTTTAGTTAGAATGTTTATGTTTGCATTTCCAGTGGATGTTTTTCTAAGCCTAGATTTCCATGTGAATTGTATACATGAAATGCATCAAGTGTTCGCCAGCAGTGATGAATGTTGTACTGTGTCATTGCAGTGGGAAGTAAGCAAACATGGTCTGGTTTTTTTCTGTTTTTTCATTTTTTGGTACTTTTATATTGCTGAGTTACCTTCAATGCTGCAACCTGACTCGCTCAGCATTTCTAAGCTAAAGTATGTCTTGGTGGTGGAGGAGAGGCTGGTATAACACAAGTGATTTTGCGTGTATCTTCAGCTGTAGGTATGGAAAGGAACGGTTTTAAGGTGTGATGAAGTCTCTGTGCTTTATGAAAGAGAAAGCAGTGTAGCTGATATGTAATGCATTATAGGAAGATGGTATTTAGTATTGCAAACATTCTTTTAAGTATTGAATTTTTAAGACCAAGGGAAAATTTCACAACTTAATTTTTTTTATTATTTTTACAGTAGTTGGCAAAAAATTGCGGATTATCTTTCTGCTGATGTTGTGGCTCCTGAAAATCTAAAAACTGTCATTGATTCAAGAGAATTGTGGCGAGGAAAAATTCAGATATGGGAACGAAAGGTATCAGCATAAAACCTCCTGTAGAGATAAGGCACATCCTGTGTCTAATTGCTGAAAAAATCTGCACTGGATTCATTCATAAAGAGTCTTCATGCTTTTAACAAAATTTTGTGAATTACAGAAATTAGTCTGAGTTAAACATAGATTTGAATCCGAAGTAATGTACAGTTGATGGGAGTATCTCATAAGTGGAGTTCTGCTTGCTGGATGCTCCCTCTGGGTGACAGGATGTAAAGTAATAATCACTCATCTTCCTTCTGTCTGCTTCCCATTCTACTCTTAAAAATATGTTTGATCCTTGGGGCAACCTCTGAAACACAGTGTGGGTAGGTACAGTTATTAAAATCACTCAAAGGTTAACATATAGACCCAAAGCCTGCATGTAAAATTGTGATGGAAAGAAAGATGTATGAAGGAAGCTGCTTCCCATTTTCTTCTCTTGTGCTTTCCTTTAATATTTTCACAGTAGGAAATGTCTAGATCGGGTGGTGGGTGTCATATCTAAAGGAGGAAGGAAATATAAGAACATAAAGCCATGCTGGATCAGACCAAAGGTCCATCTAGTTTAGCATTCTGTAGACGTGGTGGCAGATCAGCTGCCCAGAGAAGGATGGGTGCAAAACCTCTGCCTGCTCAAGCTCCTCAGCAACTCATGTAATTAGGCATGCCAGCTCTGGTGAAGGAGGTAGCACACAGCTAGTAATAGTAGTATCCACAGATAGTTTCTACTTCTGTTAACCTGTCCAGTCCCTTTTTAAAGCAATCTAGATTGGTGGCCATCACTATTTCCCATGGCAGTGAATTCCATAATTTAAGTATATGTTGTATGAAAAAGTACTCCCTCTTGTCTGTTTCAAACCTTTCTCCTATCAGCTTCATGTGATGAACCTTTGTTTTTATGTGTTATGGGGGAGAGAGTGAAAAATCTCTCCCTCTCCAGTTTCTCCACTCCCTGCATAATAATGTATTTCCTTACCTTTTTTTTCTAAGCTGAACAGTCGTGGGTTTTGCAACCGCTTCTCATAGATGACTTGATCATTTTTGTTGCCCCTTTCTATATTTTTTCCAATTTAGTGATGCTCTTATTCCGGAGAGATAACCAGAACTGAACATGATATTCTAAGTGGAATTGCACAGTATTCTAAGCGTGGTCCCAAATTTGTGCAAGGGTAGTAAAATCAGAATTATATGGCAGCATTCATAAGATTAACAGAATTCATAAGCCTGGTCTGGATGCTGGAGCTAGTGCAGAATGCAGCAATTCATCTGTTAGAATTGGCCCCCTTTCAGAATGCAGCTCATTTGAGGAAACTGCACTGGCTGCATATTTACTCCTGGGCCAAGTTTAAGGTTTTAATAGTGCATGAAGCCATAAACAACTTGGAGCTAAGATATATGAGTTTTGCCCTCTGCCTTACTAAATTTCCTGGTCACTGAAGTCATAAAATGGCATGTCCCTGATGGTCCCATATGAACTGATTGAAGTCTACCTGGAGAACAGTCATCACTGTAGTTGCTCCATTTCTGTCCCTGGAAGTCAGGCAGGCCCCAGTACTGTAATGATCTGGTGCCGCCTGGAAACTCTTCTATTTCAGGAAGACTTTCTGATCTAACCAGCTGCAGTTTTATTGATGTTTTGTTTGTAACATGTTGTTTTATTGTTTAAACTGCTTCTTACTACACAGTTCTCCAAAATCTCCATACTGGAATATGAAGCAATCCGTAAATAAATTCTAATCTTGTCTGTCTACATCTTTCTCCATTTTTTGAGAGGAGGCAAGAAGATGTAGATGGACATGGAGGAGGCTTATGCTACCTTTAAAAATGGGCTTAATACATTTTACAGGAATTTCAAAATCCAGTTATGTTTGTTTTTAATTCCATTAGTTGTGATGTCATCAGTTTAATTTTTCATCTGAATTAGAACTTCTGACTTCAGAGAGAGAATGAGAGAAAGAAAAGTAGCTCCTTCATATTTTTGTACTTTCTTTTAATACCTCTTTTTTTTCCCCAGTTTGGATCTGAAATTACTTTTCCAGACTTCTGTATAAAAACTACTGCATCAAGAAGATCACTCAGCACCTTGTTTTTTAATACTGTCTTTGCTGCCAGTGAAACTGAACAGACAAAGAATGCTAATATTCATTTGCCAGAGGTAAAGAAATTGTCTTTGACCTGCACTGCTTATTTTTTTTAAAGATCAGTAGCTGCTAAATCTAGACACAGTCATGTGCAATACAATAGAAGATGATTTATTTTAAGAGAATTGGAAAACTTACCATTGACAAAAGGAAAAAACAAAGCATTTTAAAATCTACTATGCGATTTTAGTATGATATGAAACTTCTACTTTCTTGCTATGCTAAAAAAAGAGGCAAGGCTGATATTTGCAGTCATGGGATTCTAGAAAAGGAACCATTTTGCAGACGCCCAGCATCCATTGTGACCCATCACATAGTCGTCAAAAGGCAACAAAAAGCAAGCATGAAAAAAGGAGTTTCAACTCCAGGAGGAACTAGAAAGCTCTTTTGAATTTCCCAGGTCTGCTAGAAAGGGATGAAGAATGAATGATACTGTCTGCTTGCAGGTGCTTGTGAAAGCTTCTGCTTAGCAACAGATAGAAGAATCTGTTTTTGACAAGGGCAGCTCAGGGCAAAAAGTCTTTCATGTTGCCTGCCATTTGTGGCACAATAGCACAAAGTAGCAATTGAACATAATCCCACGTTAGGAGACAGGCTGCTTAAAATGGGGGTTGAGGCTTTTCAAAGAATGGAAGCTGGTAAAATTGTTGTCCCTATCAGGGTACATGGTGCCATGTCCCTGTGAAGTTTGCACCTGCAGATAGTCAGTGGGAAAAATCAAGAAAGGAAAGAAGGCAAATATAGGAGAAGGAAGGAGATGGGATAACTAAATAATTGTGACTAAAGCTTAATTACTCTTGGGAATAAGGAATGAGGTTTGGTTTGGGCAAGAAATGCCAGGCCAATGCAGATTGCGTTCATAATTGCCAGTTATCCTTTCCACTGGCAGTCCTAATCATATAATGGCATGCTTTTATGATTTGGATCAGTGAGAGGTTGATACATGCAGGAGTTGAAAGTAGAAGGTGAAACTCCAGTGTACAGACAGTTGAACAGTTTGTTTGATATAAGGATGGTTCATAAGCAGTGTTGACTTTTTAAGCACCTTTTGTTTGCTAGCTTATTACCTTTGCCAAGGGCAGCTTGTTATGTGTACATTTAATGAGGGTAACTGGCTGGAGTGGTTTACATACTATCGAGCTACCTCACAACAGAGTATGTGTTTTGGGTGGTTGTTAACACTCCACCTGTACATATTCGCTGCATTTGAGCATAATGAAAAGCTGCCCTTGGCACCCAGCATGTGTGGTTAATAAGCCACTGTAGCTTTTTAACCATCTCTGTGGGTGAAGCAGGTCATTGTTTTGGATCCTGGTCATAGTATCATGGCTGGATGCTTTGTTTAGAAGTACTGATTGTGTATTTTGGATCATGCAAAAAGGAATTAAAGTAACTTTTTCAATTTAATTATTTTCAGGTTTTCCATTATTATGGTCACACATTAAAATTTGTGCAACTTGTGCTACTCTCTCAGCTGCCTTCATCTTTAATGTCAGATCATCAATTTGAGCTGTATCCTTTTGCTGCAAGGTGCATTTTGTTTAATTTAGGTCTAATGAATTTGTGCATTGGTAACATTTCATAAGCAGAAAGTGTTTGGAGAAGTAGTAATAAACCTTATACATGTAGTTTGCTCTGCCCATTTTAATGAATGATTTGGTTAGTGCTAATAGTTTAATCACCATAGAAGCAGTTGCTCATTGTACATGTGCAGCCGAATCTTTATTTGGAAGTAGATCAACTCACCTTGGCAGAAGTTGAATTATGATGCAAAATTGAAATGGACTGGAAGTGCTTGTGTTTGTTTTAAAACAACACTGTGGAATTTGCTCACATTCATAAAATCATTTCCTCCAACATTGAGCTTTGGCTATTGGGTGATATAGAAATAGACTAAATAATGATAACAATAATGATAATGATGATTGGAAGATGGGGTCAGACTCTTTAGATGTAGAGTAGAATTACATTAATTTCTATACTACTAATGAAAGATTTGTGTGTAGATTTCTGTCATGTATGATGGTAGAGTACGCTTGTAAAATTACACTGATTCTATAAAGCAGAGTTCTATGGGAAGATACGTTCAGTGCATGTTGGCTTCCAATGCTTGAACGCATTTGAAAAAAACTCTGAAATGTTACTGTATGAAGCACATATTTAAATGGTTGTACTTTGCAGGAATTTGTGAAGATGTGTCTCCTTAACACTTTTTGTAGGAATTTGGCAAGGAACAAGGTTCAGGAGAAATCAAGGCTATTTTGGGATCAGCTTTCCTCTTTGAATGGGAAGGTATATCATTGCCTTTTAGTAAAACGAAACACAGTGTAATACTGCGTTTGCTTTAAAAAATCCCTTACGTGTAGTGTGCCCTGGTTTTTGTTTTTCTGCATGTGAGAAATGAGCACATTGGATTATATACAAATAATTTAGTGGCAATTTGGGTAGTGAGCCTCTTGGAAAGGTATCTAAATACTACTACTCCCTACCTGCCCACCCCCCCACCCCCCAAAGCAGATCCTTGGCTTTTTGAGAAGTCATTTGCTTGCAGCACACCGAGTCTGAGAAATAATTTGTTTAATGGGTCAGCTTAAATGTCCAATGAACAAGCTAGCTTAATAAGCCATGTTTACATCCTGGCTTGTTTAAACTGAATATAGTTTAATACCTTTCTTTTTGGGACTGAAGATTTTATTTAGAAGTTTGAAGAGTGTTGTGTGCGCTGAAACAAGATGATTGCCATGGAGGGTTCCCCTTCACAAAATTCTGCTGTGTTTGGCACTGCTGGTCACAAAGCATCCATATGACTGAAGGCAGATCAGTGAAGTGGGAGACTGGTAACTGCCCCAAGAACCTGCGTAGAAGGCAGCAGTGGGGCCTGCGTCTCCAAACACAGAGCCATTCTTCCGGACTCATCATTTTCTGTTATAGCAAAAGACCGATTTGTAAACAGCAAGCTTTCTGTCAGGACACACATGTGGTTCTAGAAAGGGGGAATGTTTGTGAGAAACACAAACCCGGAGAGGGCAAAGGAAGGATTGGTGAAACCCAGAACGTGAAAAGGGTGGACAGGACTGCACAGCTGTTCTCTCCCCCACCCCCCATTCAGATCACATTGTTTGTTTTCCACTTACGTAGGTTTACCTCCATCCGTCCGTCGGTCCGTTCATCCATCCATCTCCTAAAGCATATTTACAGGGCCTTTTCCCTCCTGGTCTATGTGTTCCATTGCTTGGATGCAGATCTCACTTCGAAAAACAGTGAAGTAAAAGAGGAAGTAGGAAAAAGCTATGTACTTCTTTCTTTTGAGGAGTGAGACTGCGTTTGTCCCATCTCTGAAGTGGGAAGGCAATATGCTAAGGCAGGTGCTTTCGTATCCAGGGTCAATTTAAATTTGGTGCATCCACCAGCACCAAGTTTAAAGTACCTCTACATATGGATGCAAAACTGATTTGATGCAGAGTTTCAAAGGGCAGCTTTTAAACAGGCAGATCTTAATACTTCTGATGAGTATTCTGGCAACCTAGAGTGGGGAAGGAGTTTCATAATTAGTGAACAGCTACTGTTCACTAATTTAGATCTGGTCTGCAGTTAACATCTTTTTGGAGCACCCTTGATGAATCAAGCTGACAGCTAATACTCTACATTCTTTTACTAGAATATATAATATAAAACTAGCTGTATCTTCTTTTTCTACAGATAGGAGCTTTATTTCTATTACCGTGCAGTGTAAGTGGCATGTTGGTTCCCTTACCTAGCCAGCTGAGTACAAGAAAATGGAAAGAATATATAGCTCGGAAACCCAAAGTCATCCGTGGTGAGTAAAGTTGTGTGTGTATGCATTTTTACCACGTTCAATGTTTTTCCAACTTATTTATTTATTTATTTATTTATTTATTTATTTATTTATTTATTAAAACATTTCTATGCCGCCCCTTGCCGAAGCCTTGGGGCAGCTCACAACATCTAATAATAAAAACAAATATTTCTTTGTTAGTTAAATTTATAAACCATGCCTATATCCTACTAGGGCTCTTGGAGGTGGGGGTGGTATACATTTCCACTAAAACCAACAGTAAAATAAATACCTTCATGAAACAATGCAATATGGCTAAGGTATAATAGCTTAAAATATCAATTTTAAATTCACAAATATATATATGAATCAGTAAAAAAAATCAATTCCTAAAATACCTGGGAAATAGAACAGTCTTCACCTAGCACCAAAACACTTGTAATGAAGGTGCCAGGCAAACTTCTTTGGGGATCCTATTGCAGAGGTGGGGCACAACTACTGGAAAGGCCCCTCTTCTGCTTGCCTTCCCCCTCAACTTTGTGGGGGAATGGCCCCTGACTCAGATCTTAATGGATGGGTGGGTACATACGGGAGAAGGCAGTCTCTTTTAGTAAAGTTTCTAAGAAATCACCCATATTGAGTGTGTTTGGGTGTCACGCTAAACTGTGGTTTACTGAGACATGAATGAATCTAGTACTGTCTCCTCTGTTAAGACCACAAAGGAGCAATTTGGAAGCTTTTGATTAGCCACAGCTTACCATGTAGAAACCCTAGAGAGCCTTTGCTAGTAATTGTCATCAGTACTGAGCCAAGTAGACTAGTAGTCTGACTCAGTGTGAGGCAGTTTCCTACATTGTTAACTGTGGTTAAGATTGACCAAAAGTTTGGATTTGCACAATACAAGCAAGTTGTGGTTAATCAGAAGCAGAAGTGAAAACATCCAGACATCTCCATGCAGGAGGACTGCCTGCATAGACATTCCTGGATATCCTGAGGTATGCATTCACATGGACAATTAAAAGGAACTATACCTGGCAAGGGGAGTCAGTATTTGTCTGAATAGTAGCATCCATCTATTTTATTTATATATTTTCTCAGACAGATAACATCCAATCTCTTACACTGGTTTTAGTATTTTAAATTTCCAACAAAGTTCTGTTTATTTGTCCTGAGCTTTAGAAAGATGGAATATAATTTATTAAAATTAAAAACAAAAGGTGGAAGAACTTTTTTTGTTCTTTGGTTAAATATCACTGGGTTTTGAATTATGATGATCCTTTTACAAATAAGCATTCATGCACCTGGATGACCTACTAAGTTTATCAATCTAAATAATAGATGAGACTAATGCTAAATGTTAAAAGTGCAGTGTTTGGGTTATAAGTTGAATTGCCTTACTATCAAAAACACAGGAATTTTGGCTACTCTAAATCTAGAATTTATTCAGATTTGATCTTGATTTTAATGTATATGAACAGATTGTTTTTAAAGTTAGCAGTGTGTCTGAATCTTTGTTTCTACAACTTATCCTGTTCTCCTTAGTTCCAGAAGTTGAACTGAAAGGAGAAACCTGCAACTATTATTTCTTAGTACAAGGTAATGGCTGTGGAGGATGTAAAGCAACAATGATCTATTCTGCCAGTCAGATCAATGGCTCAGTCACTCTTGCAGAAACAATTGGAAAATGGAGCATAAAGACAGAAGAAACAGAAGCTGGTAGGTTTGTGGAAGTAAAATAACATGTGAAGCAGAACATGTGTGAGGTTTTCATTTGAATAGAAGAATATGAGCATTGAGTGATTTCCTTTAAAATGAAGATTAACTTTTTAAATTTCAGTATATGGAGTTTAAATATTATTCATTTTCAATGAGCCTTTGGAAAACAAATCAAGTCTATGAGTAAAAAATACAGTTTATGATCAGCTTTGCCTGTTAACTTCTTGGATCGGGGTATGAAATCCAAGTCCAGACTTGTTCTCTTGAGTATGTCGTCAATGACTTTGAGATAAGTTTGAGATTTACTACTTAAGACTGGTCTTTTTTAATTACAGAGGTCAGTACTGTTGCCTTTCATGATGTTTTCCATTAAAAGGAAATGGAAATTCTAAAACATTACAAAGGACATAGTAGACTTGGTATCTTTGCTGTTTCTTTGTTAGAGGACATACTTACTTTGCCTCCTTCCAGTTCGGTTGTTTTGGTAATAAACATTGTTTTTTCTCATCCCAGGATCAGAATAAATATTTTTTTTCAGATATGAGGTTGCTCTGGATGCATAATACACATGAGCATATTACCAAATGATAGTAATACTATCACTTAATAAGTATCTAACTAAAAACTACATGATAGTTAAAAATCCTCTTGCCCACATTACCTTAGAATACTGGTTTGTTGCTATTCTTGGGAAAGCAGAAGTAAAATTTTCATCATTGTTGCTATTCTTGGGAAAGCAGAAGTAAAATTTTCATCATGTCAGATTAGACTTCAGGTATCTTATTTTGTGTTTTAAGAGATGTACATTGAACCATACAGAATATTCTCAGGGCTGAATTCTTGTGACAGCTTGTTCAAAAGCTCATGATAACTCTCCTACTGGAGTTTGAACTACAATATTTCCCTCCTGTGTCATTCAGATTGTTAGAATTCAGAATGCAATATAATTTGATCACTTCATGCTTATCTTGTCTCTCCTACCATTACCCTCCCCACCTCTCCAAATTAACACAGGTTTATTTGAAGAGTTTGTTAGATCCCTCCCACATTTCCATGGAGAACAGATTTTGCAAAGAGAGAAGAAGCTGGCCTATGTCCAAACATTGGCTTTGAATCACTGTCTGAGTGAGTAACACAGAGAACAGGAAGCTGGTAAACTCATCTAAACTAAATTTATCTTAATTTGGAGTTTGAATTGACAGTTTTTACACTATAAATGTTGGAGAAACTAAGTTCAAACAGTGTTCAGAAGTGTCAAAATTAGAATTGCATATCAGGCAAGTCTTTGCTGGGAGGATGCATGTGCTTTTTCTAAACTACTTTAAACTGATTGTTGACTTTGATTTGGTTTTGAACTAAGGTATGTTCAGATAACTCTCCTTTTGGTTGGCTTAGAGTTAAATTGCAAAGTGTAGGGAAAGATAAAATTGAAGGACAGAGTAAAGAATACGGCTGGAAGTAAATTGGGTTGCTGACTTTTCAACCAGGCCTTTCAGCTGTGTCTTTAACAGTAGATTAATATATAAATATGAACAGCTGAAGATCATATATTGTGAAAAATCTTTACCTGCTAATTTCTGCTTATCAAGTTAGAAGTTTTGAATCTGACCATGGGAGGTTGCAGCATGCAGTCAACAGTCTGTACCATCCACGGAAGCAAAATTAATTTATAAAGTTATCCAAGGAAATGTTTGGGGCTATGTGCCCATGCTATCCCACAGTTCATCACTAGTCGTGGAAGCATCTAATACCTCTGGGAGAAGTACGAGGAAAAGGAGCTCACTTAGTTCTCAAGTGGGTTATGGGGGAAATCCTTCCCGTACCTGCAGCATTAGAATAGTAATTCCAGAAAAACTTTTATCCATGCTTTGACAGGAAAAAAATGCCCTACAACTCCCTGGATACCCCAGGCAGGATTGCACTTTAAATGAAGAGGAAAGCATGGGGAAAGTGCTTCCCTTCTAGTCTGCTAGAAATGACAAACGTATGCTGTAATAGCTTGCAATTAAAATGAAGGATTTTTGTAAAAGTGATTCACATCTGACTGTAGCCTTTTTTCCTTGGTACCAATATGACAGTTTTAATCAATACCAATTTACTAAAGTTACATTACATTTTATGTCAATGATACGGTGCTTATTACTGCAAAAAGGCAAAATTAAGCTTTTGCCTTTTGTCTTACAGAAAGACAGGAATCTGCAAGGCAAAAACCGTTACCTAATGAAGTGAAAACTCTGCTGACACATACACGAGAGTGCTTCTTAGCATTGTGGAATGCTAACCACCCAAACAGTGTTTCCCCGAGAACTCCTCTCAAAACCAAAGACCAGGGGACAGATTGTAGTGAGTATCTTTAATTGCTTAATTGTTTTCATTTGGGAAAATGCTTACCTGGTATAAAGTTTTTTCACCTTAACAATATCAGTAAAAGTATGCCCAGCAAAGCACTGTTGCTGTGTTTCTCATTATTTGAAAATTAATCACCTGTGTGGGCTTTCTGTAGGTACTCTTTCACCACCTAGATCTGTAGATTGTGTTTTTAAAAAAAGGTTGAATATTCATACTGAACACGCCCTAATTTAATGCAGTAGTCCAAAAATTGAGGAAAAATGTATGATGGATCTTTGGAGAGATTGTGCATAGCATGGCTTACCCAACCTTAGTTATCAGGTAAAATCATGGTGTTCGTGAACGGGTGCACAGATGCAGCCATGTTAATCCTTCCCCCAGCCACTAGGAGACTTAAATGGTGAAAGGGGTAGTTGAAGTTAAAGGGTAGGAAGAGGTGTAATGCAAGACTTTATTCCAGACTCCAGTCTAAACATACACAGAACTTGTGTTGCTTTAACAGTGTTTGCTCTTTTAATAATGTAAATCCCCTTTCCCAAGTTAGCTGAAAACAGCTTGTAATAAACATTCAGAAACAAAATACTTAAAATGTTTTAGTCCTAAAATCTAATACAAATTCTACTAGACAAAGACAATTTTTAAAAGATGCTGTTCTGATTAAGAAGGCCTCTATTATCTCCCTAAGTTGTTGATTGGTTGGGCTGTTCATTTTTTGCTAATACTAAAAAAATGAACTAGAAACAGAGTGAGTCAGAATGGGCCTCCCAGCTCTAACCAGCTCCATTCATGATATGCCTACCATGTGCATGTCCAGCCTATCCTTAAACACCTCACTGATGGGGCTTCAACTGCCAATGGAAGCCCATTCCATACCGCTTGGGGCCCTAACACTCATGAAGTACTTCCTGGTATCTAACTTGAAACTTGGTTTCCTGAGCTTTGCTCCATTGGAATGTGTTCTACCCTCATCCGCAGGGGAAAACAGACCTCAACCCACCTCTGCTTGACACCCCCCTATGTACCTATATGACATCAACAGACCCCCTCAGAGTCTCCTCTTCTCCAGGCTGAAAAAGCCCAGTTCCCACCTCATACAGTGTCCCCTGCAAACCAGCCACTATCCTTGTGGCCCTTCATTGCACTGATTCCAACTTGGCTTTATTTTTGCTATAATGTGGGGCCCAGAACTGAACATAATACTCCAGTTGTGGGTTTACCAGAGTTGTATAGAGTGGCAGTAATACCTCTCTTGATCTAGAAGCCACACTTCTGGTTATGCATCCAAGGGTGGCGTTCGCTCTCTTGACCGTGAGTCAGCAGCTCTCTTGACACTGCTGACTCATGTTTAGCCTGTAGTGAACCAGCACTCCAAGATCCTTTTCACAAGTGCTGCTCTTCAGCCACTTCTCCCCTACCCTGTACTTATGCCACCCATTCCTATGTTCTAAGTGCAAGAATTTGCACTTATCCACATTGAACACCATCCTGTTGACCCCTACCCACTTCCATAGTAATATTCTATGGAAGTGTCTGTTGGTATAGATGGTTAGTTTACAGTTGCAGAAAGAAAGAGAATTGTAAGTAAGCCTTTTACTGGAGCAGCTTAGAAATCTGCAAAGTTTTCTTACAAAGAACTCTATCAGTCATATTGGAATGCTAATTAGCACATTCTCAGCTGGACCAAAATGGTTCATGAGTGCACATAGAATTTTGCAGTGTATTGAGGAGTAGTTTTGACTTTTCTTTCTGGTCTTGCTCCTTTTCAGGTTCGGAATTAAAAGGTTCAAATCCTTTGAAGTGGGTAGAAAGACATGTCCTTCAGAATTTAGAAAATTTTGAAAAAATAAAGCAAAAGACAAGGTAACATTAACAATTGCACACATGTAGAAATATGACCATTTTTATCAATGGAATTGCCTTCACCCTCCCCCCTACCTTACAGCAGCTGTGTGTGTGGATTGTGATTTTTTTTACGTCTGGAGCTTTCCGTTTACGTTTTTAATTTTTCCTGTCAGAGTTTCTGAACAACTTCTGGCCCATAAAGATGCCCAGAAGGGGTCAGCGGCATTGCTTGATGCTAAAGAGCTATTGAAGCATTTCACCCCGGAAGGGCTACCCATTGGTGATCTGCAGCCTTTACATATTCAAAAAAGGTATGCTCTTGTGCTGAATGCACCAAACTGAGGAATGTTTCATAACCTACGACAACACTAGTTACTTGCATTTGTTGTCCTGCACCCTTGAAGTGTTTGCTGTTTAGGATGTTATCATATAGATGTCGATAATGCAAGCCCCTAATTGACTGTTTTGGGGCAGATCAAGTGGTTCAGAGAAACTGATTGCAACATCAGAGCCATCTTTATCTGCAAACGCTAGCTTTTAACTCTTCTCAGAAGCCCAACACATGAAGCGGAGCATACCCTTGATTTGGTCTTTGTTCCCAATCAAATGAGTTGCCTGAAAATGGGGGCAGTGGGGTGGAGGTGCTAACATTAATGCTATGGTCAGACCATGTCTTGCTGAGATTTGAATTGACAACAGCTTTCCTCCTGCTGGCATGGTTGGCCAGATTGCTCCTGCGGCCATATACCTGCAGCAAGGTGTGTACCATGTGTACAAGAGCAGTGGTGGAGCATCATATAAGATCAGTTGCAATGTCATTGTCCCTGGGTAATGTTAGCAACGGGCTACAGTGGGACAGGTTGTTTCTATCCATGCTCTGGGAATGTATTTTTGTTTTCTGTAAGTAAGCAATAACTTCAAATTAACAGGGCTTCTCTCCCCTCACCCTGACTCTTTTTCAGTGACAATGCTTTTCTTTTGACACCAGAGCTTACACCTCGAAAACTGAGAAGTTTGCCGTTTGAAAAAGCTACTGGCTGCCATTACCATGGTCTTGAGTAAGTTCTCTCAGCGTGAGTGCTGTGAATTATTTCCTGTGTCTTTAGTCAGTGCAAATCCAATTTTATAAAATTACTTATTAATTACGTATTTGAACCAAGCACTAGTAAAAAATGCGATATATACATGCCCCCTCTGGTCCTATACACATTTGCATATGTAACTTTTCTGTTTGGTCCCATAAATTGCTTAAGCAGAAATACCATTGCAATTTACGATTGTATAGGAGTAATTACTGATTGAAATGAAAACATAATGCATTGTTTCAAATAATCTCATATTTTCATGCCCATGCATACTTGTGATATTGTGACATCACCTTCACTGTGACATTGTTACTTGTTATTTATTAGATTTATATCCTGCTTTTCCTTACAATGAACCAAAGCAGCTTACATAATTCTTGACATTTGAATAGTATTATGGGTTAAGGATGTGTGAGGAATACATTTTAGGGGTGCGAGTTCATTGGATTCCTTGGTCTCAGCTCCTTGGACTCTGGCCCACTTTCTTGAGGTCATGAGTCCAACCTCCTGGCAAGCACACCAGGTGTCCATGTGGGCACCTGCCAGGAAGCAAGCAAGCACGACACCTGCATCCTGTGCAAGGGGCATCACTCTTCCTTGCAACTTTGTGCTGTGGAAGAAGTATGCTTACTGGAACTCTGCTAATACTTGTGGGCTTCCTCATGGCTTGGCTCTCTGAGTGAGCAAAAGAAGAAGTCCGATGGACAGAAGAGGGCCAGATTCCAGGGAGGAGCATTGCAGCCCTACTGAGTTTTATGTACTATATAATTAGTTGTACACCACCCCAAAATCTGAAGGACAATATGAAAATGTTTGAAATAAATACATTTTGGATTTTGCAATGGTATGCACAGGCAACCTTTATTATGGCCTTCTAAATCTCTAAATATTTGGAAATATGACTCTTCACACAGATGAATGATGGGAACCATTGCTGGTAGAAACTGTAGAAGTAACTGGGCAGTCCTATTTCCACCCTGGGAAAACACTCTGAAAATTATACCACATCAAGTGTAATAGGCAAAGAACCTTATATTGTGCCCTGCTTGGCATGATGGCTGCTGTGGACTGTTAGAGGATGGTATACCAGATGTACTCCCTGCCTGCCTCTTACTCCATTTAGCAGGGGTGGGCAGACTTCTGGCTTGTTGTGATCTGCTTTGCTTTTTACTGGAATCCACCAACTGGAACCTGGCATAAAAGATTCCAGTAAAAATCCTTTAGAGTTAAAGGATTCTGAGACCTGGAATTTGTTTTGAATCTCAAAACTGAACAATGTTCATAGTCCTTCTACAGAGAATGACGCTCCTAATTAAGCCTTGGGCCCAGCTTTCTTTATTTCAACTGCCTCTCTGAGGCTGAGGTAGAGTCATTGAGTTATCGCCATTGTTAAACAAGTAGGAGCTAGAAATCAGATCTGCCAGTAGATCTCAGTCTGTCTTCTGCTCAATCCTGCCATATAGCACTGGATATAGAAGGCCCTTCTGGAAATGCTGAAATGTGCTGAGCATGTATGATTCTCCATAACAAGGAAGTGGCCATACCTCAGGATTAGTACCCTTGTTACATGTTTAGTGATTGTGGTAGAATTTTCACAAATCAAAGCCAGGATATTTCTTCTTTTGTACCTGTAACACATCCATAAAGTACATCCATAAAGGTCCCCAGTCGTTTCAGAATATGCAGTTTTTCCTTTGGGCTTCAATAGCACCAGCATCCCTGGAGAAGGTTGTCTTGTGAATGAATAAAGGAGATTGTCACCATAGGATTCTTGTATTGAAGTTTGAAATACAGGAAGAGTTAAGTAGAGCAATCTGCTTCAGAGGGTTTAGTTTCAACTTCAAAGGACTTCTCCAAGCTTTCATGGACTAAGTTGGTGGTTGTCATTGATTGTTAAACACTTTGAAGGTTTTGAAAATGCAAACTGCATGCTGAGAAGCAGTATTAGTTTCTTGCTAATAGTAGCTCTTCTCAGTAGCTGAATACAAATGAAGCAGAAGAATTTGACTAAGCACAAAGTCTTCTATCCATAATTTTGAAAAGAGTTCTAGGGAATTATAGCTATGTCAAGGCCAAGTCACTAACTTACTTAATTATTTATTGAATTTGTTTGAGAACTGCCCATTAGAATCACAGTTTCTGGTGGCTAAAACATAAAGTCCACTAGTTTGGTTTCTGGATGTCTTGTTCCAATCCTGTGTCAGTTGACACACATTGAACTTGCACTAAAACTGATAGACCTTGTGGTTATTTAAGTATCTTGAACACATGCCATATTTTGCATGTACATGCACATGCATTTTAAAAGCATTAAATAATTGTAACTTACTAAGTGCAGCTGCATTTTCATTACTTTATTAAATATTTCACTATTTTGAATTCTGTGATGTCAGTTCTACTGGCAACACAGCAAAGATGATAGCCTGGAAATTGAAGGGCATCCTGGAAGAATTGGGGCATGAGATCTATAGCAGAATCACAGAGATCATTCTGAGGGCTCATGGTAGCTGGATAAGTGGTGGGACATTTTTCTGTCCATCCATGCACGGGATTGCACTCCAATAGAGCAATCCTGTGCCCCCTGCCTTTGATGAACATAAGCCCCCAAACTTATGTCCATACGGTACACAGACTGAGGCACAATGGTAGTATTTTCTGCCATGCTTTGCCCAAGTATTTACTCCAGAAGCCCACTTTTGTCTGGCTAGCTTTAGTGCCAGGAAGGGGAAGGTTAAAAGGCTGGGGTGCCAATCGGACCTGGCACAAGGTGGTGACCCCTGCTCCCTGGCATGCCCCCTTTGTCCTCTTGAGGCCAAGCTGCATCCTTGGCACTGTTCTTTGCTTGCCATCCATGAGATAGTTGGGATAAGGATTTGACCTTCTGAGTTTCAGCTTCAGGGTTGCAGCATCTTGGAGCTGGGGATGCAAACAATCATATTCTCCCTGCACACCTCTGTGACAATGTCAGAAGGCCACAGGATTGCAGCCTTAGTGTCCTAATATTAGTAAGGCTGCCAATGATAGTTCCGAGTAGTTTGGCATTTCCTGGTTTATGTCCCTTTGGTGCTGCTTCTCATCCTCGAACTGATATTTGCATTACTTTCTCATTTCATGAATTATCAGCCAGAGCTAAATTGTAAAAAAGAGGAAGATGTAACAAAAAAAGAGTGAGCAGAATGACAGTTTTATATAGGATAGATTAGTATTTCAGCTCTGTAGAATGGGCAGCAGTGTCTACTGAGAATATAAATAAGGAAAATCAAATAGCATGAAATGGATAAGCAAGAAGAATTTTATCAGATAATGAGCTTGTTTCCAGTGGTAAAATTGAATTCATTACTTAAAATGATTAAAAAGTCTTTTTCTAGGGTGGGAGGAAATCCACTTTGGGCTAAGTATGACAGCATTATCTTTCTAGTAGAAAATTAGTTGATTTGTCCTGACAGCCTAGGGGAAGCGCAATGTACTGATGTTCAGATAATCATGCTGGGGGTGGAATCCCATGTTCCGAAGCCATGAGGCATGCACTAAATCAGTGTTGATTGAATTGTCAGGCAAGCCAGTACCCATCTATTCTCTCTGGTAGAGTGAGGAGTGATGCTCTTGGAGCCTAATAGCTAAATGGACCCTCCATTGCTAAGGGAACAAGCAGCAGAGGGTGATGTCTGTTGCCTTCCTGGCATGTTTTTAGACTTCCTTGAGGCATTCGCTTGACTGCTTTCGGCAACAGGATGCTGGATGATCTGATCCCGTAGCGCCCCCCCCCCCCCACACACACACGCTCCATATGCAGTGGAAGCTACTATTTTTTTTCCACAGCACCTTGAATGAAAATTATCTTTCTGGGATAATCCTTGGTCATGCTTAGCATTTTTATAACACCGTGTCCATACTGCTGATTACTACATGAACTATCTAGTAGTAATCTTTAACAGTAAACCTATAAGGTAAGGATAAGTATTATCATCCGTATTGCAATGGGGGCTAATGCTAAGAGCATGGCTTGTGTTAGGATTGCCTAATGAGTTAATGGCAGCAGCAAAATTGAAACTGAGGACTTGCTGATAGATGTTTATAAACTGTTGGATCAGGAAGTGTCATAATAAAATCAAAGAGCTTGCAAGCTTGCCCTGCTGTACACATTAGTTTGTTTTGTTTGCACTCGCACTTGGAAGCATTGCTTGAATGGAGTTCTGCTCAGAATTTGCCTGCTGATTCCAGGGCAAGCAAGACCATCTTTGTCCATTTCATCCCTCCCTTTGCTGCCTCCAGTGCCATCTCGCCAACTGCTCTGGATGGTCCCCCAACTCTCTGGAGCAGATTTTCAGGAAGAGAAGAGAGTAAAAGATGCTGCTTTCCTGTTCCATTAACCAAAATGCTTTGTTGGGTTAGAAGCCTTCTGAAGAGAGAAGGCCGTTGATCCAAATCACAGTGAAGCATGACCCTTGTTGCTTGATACTGCACCAAAAGAACATACTGTATTTTATTCATTGCATTTTTATCCTACCCTCTCTCCAAGAGGCTCAGGGTGGCCTGCATTGTCACCTGCCTTGCTTTTTCTTACAACAATCTTATATGCTGAGAAGAGACTTGCACTTCTGTGAAGTTGGTTAGTCAGAGCGTTATGGTTCAAGCATCATCCATTCAGCTTCATGTCCGAGCATAGATTTGATCTCAAGACTTCTGGATCCTAGTTCAGCATTTATCCATTATGCTTCATGAGCTGCACTGGTTCTGACTTACAGATAATATAACAGATTTAGATAAAACAAAGTAGCTTTTTGATTCTCTTGCCAATAAATTGTGGATTGAGGGATTTTGCTGTATTGTACACTGATGCTGATTCAATGATGAAAGGGAACTAGTGCCTTGAGTTTTACTCCATTTCCTAGAATACTAGATCTTTTCAGAGATCTGCTAATAATTTAGCTGAGGAAGGCAAGGAAGACATCCCTGCATGAAAGGCAAAACAATGTGTATGCATTTATCTTAAACTGGAATAAATTGCTTGTTCTTCAGCAATCCCTCTAACTTCTATCACTGTATTTCATTTTAGATACTGTCTAGACAACAGAAGAGCTTTAGAGAGAGATGTGGGATTTGCTGAGCTTCAGGCCCGTCTTATCCGTTATGAAACTCAGACCACCTGCACAAAGGAGTGCTGCCCAATGCCGTGTGTCTTGAGCCCTCTTCCTTCTCCTGCTGTTTTGTCAGAGCCTGGAAGTGTTCCTGATGGGGAATCATTACAGAGGGATCTCCCAACGGAGGCATCCAGGCTCAAACGCAGATCAAAAGATATGGATGGCTTTTATCCCAACAAGAGGTATCATGCTAAATTAAGAAGAATTTTGAAATCTTTCTTGTGTAAATGCAGCTTTTTTCTTCCAGAATAAAGACTTTGCTTTATAGCTAGCTCTGTGCTCAGATAACCTCAGTCTTGTTTTGTTGATTCCTCCTCCCATATTTTTCAAGTATGGTAACCTTTTCTTAGCATTGAATATATTCAAGCAGCACCTAAAGGGATTTTCACTTTATTATTTAATCACCATTGAGTGGGTCATCCAGAGTCTTGCAGTGTGTTGTCATCAGTATGTTGATGACATGTAGTTTTGTCTCTCCTTTCCATCTTCAGTGGGTGAGGCTATGCCTGGCTAAACCAGTGCCTGGCAGCAGATGAGGGTGACAAATTGAAGCTCCGTTCAAACAAGACTGAGTTGCTCTGAAAGCGTTGTACATCTGACCAGCTGGGGAATGTTCAACCTGCTGTAGACTGAACTCCCATTGAAGGACCAGGTTTATAGTTCAGGGATCTTCCTTAAGCCTTCTTTGTTGCTTGAAGCTCAGGGGACCTTAGTGGCCCAGTGTACCCCTTTTGGACAGAAATAACCTGGTTTCAGTAACTCCCTAAGCTAATTTACTGTAGTGCCCTGCAGCTGTCTTTGAAACTTGTTTGGAAGCTTTAGCTTTTGCAAAATATGACAGCCGGACTAATAAAGAAAGCCAAAACATGTAACATTCTGATCCACTTGCTTTGGCTTCCTATATGCTTCTGAGCCCAGTTCGGAGTTCTGCTTTTAACATATTAAGCCCTACATCAGGGGTCTCAAACTCGCGGCCCGCGGGCCAATTGCCGGGACGGGTGGGGCACGGGGGAGGGGCCCTGCGGCCTTCAAAGCTTACACAAATAAAATACAAATACCTAACATAAATTAATTAACGACCCACTCTGGCTGCAATTAACATATGATGATAAAATTCAATATTAAAACTTATTAAAATATTGATTAAATGAAAAGGTCTTAACCTGGTGTCAAAAAACATATAATGACAGCACCAGGTGGACCTCTCTGGAAAGCACATTCCATTGAATGCTTTCACTCATTGCCAGCTGTTGAGCTGTGATATTATTTCAGTGTTTTAAGGGCATATTAGGCATAGCACTGCATGAAGTACCTTTAATTTTTGTTTTGTTTTTGTTTTATTTAATCTACTTTCCAGGTTGCCGAAACCTGAAAGTACAGATTCTCTCTTGTCCCAGGTAAGCGGAAGCAGCGGCAGTCACCGCTTGAGAGTTGTCACAAGACAATGCCTGGAGACTTCAGGGTCTCTGCCCTCTGTAGCTGCCAAACCGTCTCATAACTGGATGCACAAAGTCAACCCCAAGAACAGCTCAGCAAGCCAGAGATGTGGTAAAGAGGCAGAAATACAAAAACCCGCAAAGGAATCAAGATATCAGAAGCATACACGGGTAAAGAACATCTCAGTATAGCAAAAGCAAACTTGCATGTTGGATGTGTGTTTGCTTGCTTGCTTGTTTGTTTGTTTTTGCTGTTCCTAGATTAACTAAGCCTGGGCAAAGTGTAAGTTCTGTGTATTAGATAGAGCCTCAAGTCCAGTAAATCTCAACTGGAGTCCCACAAACTATATTACGCCTCTGCAGCTTTTCCAGCCACCTTTTGAACTCTACCTGAATCTTACTGCTCCCGCTGCATTTGCATCTGGTTCTTGTGCTTATGCCTTTTGCTCACTGTCAGATCTTTTTCCTGTGTTTCATTCTGGCATTGTGCACCTGAAGGACAAGAATTGCGGCTAGCACACTGGCTGAGTGACAGTCCCTAAAGTGATAGGTGGGGGCTTGCCTCTTCCAACAGTGTAATTGGACACCACAATAAAGTGGCCTATTTATAAAGGTAGTGCACAGATTTGAAGGTTTAGGACTTGAAGTTTTCTTTGGGCACTTAGGTTGCAACAGGGACACTTTCCCCTAAATGGAGAATTTTCTCAGCAAAAGAAACTACCATGTATATCAGGTTGCTTTAAGTAACTAATCAAAGGGCAAAAAATAAAAAAGCTAAATGACATCAAGAAAAGAAAAATCCAAACAACTTTGTTGTGTGTATGTGATGCCATAAAAATTAATGTCCAGCAGCTAGTTTGTCATTTTGAAAGAACAATATGTATGTTTTATTCATATTACCATGAAGTGGGTAAGCAAGCCATCTGTTTGCATTTTAAAATTAAGAAAATGAGAGCAATGTATATATTTCCTCTAGGGCCTCATCATGCATCTTTTGTTGGGCATTTAAGAGAATGGTTCTTAAAAGTATGAATGCAGCAAATGTATGTATGAAGCTGTGTGACATGGACAAACTCTTCAGGGAATTGTGCTTAGTTGCTGCTTCCTGTTGAATGTGTACATTTTCATTTTATTTATTATATTTTTGTACTTCCTAATAGCTGAATCTCCTTGGGAGTTGCTACCTGGTGGCAAGCCTGAGATTTGCTTTATTGCCATACAGAATATGGGCTGAGTATTAGCCAAACAGCACTTGAGAATATCACATTTGTAGCATCGCTCAGTTCAGAAAATGCTGTTGTAGAAGCAGCCTGTATGACGTATTGGCCTTCAGGATTATAAAATATGCCTGCCTTTTCTCCAAGATGCTGAAGGAGGTGGTGACAAAAACCCTTGAAAAGCATGGCATTGCTGAAGACCATAAGTGCTTTGCAACATGCAGCCAGCGTCTGTTTGAGATATCCAAGTGTTATTTAAAGGTACTTGAGTTTTTCTGTGTTTTCCCACACTTAGAATAGCACATAGAAATGTATAAACAGTGCGAGTCAGAAGGGGTCTCCAAGCCATCTAGTCTGACCCTCAGCTTCAACTGGCTCCACTTACGACATGCCTACCATATGTATGTCTGAGGTGTGCTTGGCTGTAATCTGGCATATGCTCATACAGCAGTACTTCTCTTTTGGAATTTCTGCCCTATAGAAAAGTGTGGCTGGCTGCGTCCCTCCCACAGCTCAGTATAAACATAGAAATTGAGTGAGTCAGAAGGGCCTCCTGGGCTATTTAGTCTGACTCCCAGCTCTAGCTGGCTCCACTCATGACATGCCTACCATGTGCATGTCTAGCCTATCCTTGAACACCCTCACCAATGGGGCTTCAGCCACCTCCCATGGAAGCCCATTCCATACCTTAGGGGTTCTAACTGTCAGGAAGTACTTCCTGGCATCCACCTTGAATCTTGGTTCCTTGAGCTTTGCTCCATTGGAATGCATCCTGCCCTCATGTATAAGGGGAAAAAAGTCATGGCCCATCTCTGCTTGACACCCCCTCACATACTTAGATGTTGATAACAGGTCCCCTCTGAGTCTCTTCATGGCTGAAAAGACCCAATTCCCTCAGTTTCTCCACATGTGGCTTACCCTGCAAACCATCCACATGGCCCTCCGCTGCACCGATTCCAACCTTGCTATATACCTCTTGCAATGAGAGCCCAGAATAGTCCAGCTGTGGGCGCACCATAGTCATATAGAGTGGCAGTAATACCTCTTGATCTAGAAGCCACGCTTCTGGCTATGCATTCAAGGGTGACATTTGCCCTCTTGACCGCTCCATCGTACTGCTGACTTACGTTTAGCCTGCAGTCAACTAGCACCCCAAGATCCTTTTCACAAGTGCTGCTCTCCAGCCACTTGTCCCCTAACCTGTACTTATGCCACCCAAGTGTAAGACCTTGCACTTATTCACACTGAACACCATCCTCTTGTCTCCTGCCCACTTCCATAGTCTGCTCAGATCCTTTTGGATCTGGGGTACCTGCCTGAAGATTGAACAGGATCGGTTCCAGGACAGAGCCCTGGAGGACCCCACCCGTCACTGACCACCATCCTGATAATTGCCCACTATGCTGTGGTTTCGTATTTAAAATTCTCATTGTCAAGAGACAATGTAGGACATGCAGTGTGTTCAAGCACACTAAAGTGTCTACAAACTCTTCCTGTACTGTGCACTGCATCTGCTTCTCTCTGGATGTGACACACAAACCTATCCTATCCTCCAGTTTCAGGGCTTGAAAATACTGGTCTGATTGCCGCCTTCCTTCAATAAGAGCCCAACCCAAAATGGCTTTTCATAGTCGTAGCACATTCACTTGCTCTTCCTCCCTCCCTCCCTCTCCTTTCCCCTACCACTTCCCCTCTTATGGAAAGTCAGGCCTTTGTTCATGAAACACACGGGATAAGCTTGCACAGCAAGAGATGTCGCTTGCCATCTGGACTTTCTGCCTAGATATGCCAGGCTTGGGCCCTCCTTCCTGCGGGACATGGGTTCTACCCTGCCACTCCCAGACAGACCTGCTGCTGCTCTTGCATCACTAAGCCTGCTTGGCAGAATGGGCAGGCTGTGAGAGGCACATGACCCTAGGAGCTGTAGTTGTCCACAACTGTGTATTTCTCAATGGTCAGCAGTTGAACTTGATTCAAATTGCATTACCATGTTATTCATGTGGATCTGTCCCGTTACCACTGAGCTTAAGATCTGCTTTCATGTACAAATTACTATACATGCAAACAGTAATTGGTACATGAAAGCAAATTTGTAAACAGCCATACATCTGTGAGTGTTTTGTATGCTATGTGCCAGTGACCCCAGGTTTTTCACCAAGCAGGTCTGCTGATAACAGGGAGCTGCAGGCCTTCCCAGCCTTTCTCACTTAAACAGGAGGGTGTAAGAACTTTATGCTGTGGTTGCTGCTCTGAAATCTAGCTGTGTAGTTTGTGACCTGTAGGTAGGATCTGCCCTGGTAGATAAAGGCCAGGGGAAACCATGCATTCGGAAATCTCAGTACAGTTTCTACTGCTATTATTTTGCTGTGATTATGATGCAGTATTAATATAAACATATTTTTGTCTTACCTCTTGCTAACCTTAATTTAAATGTTGGTATCACTAAACTAGCATACTTGTAATGTTTCATATTTAGGACCTGAAGACATCTAGAGGGCTGTTTGATGAAATGAAGAAAGCTGCTAACAGTAATGTTAAACAGGTGATTTAGTGTGTGCATATGTCCAGCTTTCTGTTTCCACTGGGCAACCAGATATGTAGGGGAAGCCCACCAGCCTGACATGAATGCAGTAGCACCTTCCTGCTTGCATGTGCCAGCAACTAGTATTCAGAGGCCTGCTTCCTGATCTGGAAGAAGTAGGCCAATATACAAGTCAGCACAACTGGAGGAGGATAGCTGGACGACAAATTTCTGTGAATTTGTCTAGTGGCCATCATTAATTTCATAGATTAACTATGACTTATGTAAAGAAAAACTTTTATTTATGAATCACTCTTCACTCTTACTGGATGACCCCTGGTTCTAGTATTTTGAGAGGAAGAACACTTTCATATGCCTCTATCATACCGCCCCCAGCCACATACACGCACACACCTCTCTGTCTTCTAAGCTAAAAAGCCCAGAACACTGTGACTTTTCTTTAATGCTATATTTGTATGTTTATCTCTAATTACATTTCTTGGGGTGTATTTACAGGTCATCGAATGGGTTTTAGAAAAGGCCAAGGAGAAATGATATATGCTAGAGCCCTTGCCGTTCTGTGGAGAGCCTTTTTTGAGTCAGTGCAGCATTTGAAATGGACAGTTTGGAGTGCTTTGTTAAGATAACTCAAGTGCCTAAAATGAACAATAATGGCAAGAGGGTACACTCAAAGCTCGGTGTCATTAAAAGTAATCTTGAATCTTGAGCAAGCCTATTTTTGTATGTATAGTTATTTATTGTAACACTGTGTACAGCGTGATATGACAAACTGAGCATTTGTGTGCATATACCTTGTACAGGTCTATCTTTAGAGAATAATAAAAGAATTTTTGAAGGATTGATGGCTTAACATTTCCATTTGCAGTGTTTTAAAGATGTTCAAGTCTGTAAAAACTTCTTGGTGGTTAGCCAAGTTGCCATAAAAGTTTTATGAGATGACAGAATCCTCTTGCGCTTTGTAGCGAATTACTGTTAAGAATTGTCACTTCTGTTGAACAACTTTAAACCTGGAAGAAGCCAAAAGGCCATCACGAAGAAGCAGCCCTCCTTTAAAAGCTGGAACCAAGCCCACACCAACAGATTAGCCAATGTGCAGAGTGCCAGATGCACAGAGCAAAGATGTGCACACCAAGTTGTAAAGCAGCAGGGAAAGTGTGATCTTGATCAGGACCACTGGTGAGTAGACAGATTAACACTTCTCTATTTAGTGAGCACTCCTAATTAGCTTCATGGGGAGGGGAGTGTTTAAGCTTCCTTCTGATCATAGCAATGACTGTGTGGGGGAGGAGAGCGTACAGGGCCTCACATCCCCTCCCAGTGAGCCATCAGTGGTTTGTCAAGCTGTCGTGGGGGGAGGTAGGCTGTAGCCCCACTTTTCTGTAAAGGGACTAGGGACAGAAAGCCCCACCTTTCTGTACTAGGGACAAGGAGCAAAGGTGACAAGAGGGAGATGCTTTCAGCAGCAGGGCTAGGCAGCCCATACCAGGCCACTGGAAAGCCTTTTAACAGGCCATCTGTTGGTTTATCACTGCTCCTCGACCCAGACGTCCTCTGTCCAATCTGCCTCCAAAGTGAGATGATACTGTTCTTGCACATGATAGCAGAGGTGTTGCTGTCCTGGCTATCGTGGAATGGAGCTGTGTGATTGTTATTTCAGTAAACAAACCACCCATTTTTTAGTCAAGGGAACTTACCTTTAGGATTGTCGCCATCCCATGAAACATGAAAATGGATTAAGCCAATGCAGATAGTCGCTGAATGGATGTGTATTAGTTTCCCCCATAAAACTCTTGTAGAAATTATTACCTCACAAAGGCACCAATAAATGAAATTTTTATTAAATATAGTCTTTTCCTTCTAAAATATAAATATTTTAAACTAAATTCCTATAAATTTGGAGTAGTTCCATATATAAGTCATTCTATCAACCTCAACCAAATATGAGTCTGTCCAAAATCTGTATTTAATTTGTCTATAAATATATAATAATTTTCTCTTTGAAATCTAGTTATCACTTATTCTTCATATTGTAATCTGAGCACCGTAAGTTACATGACATATTGTGTCATTTAATAATTGATAATAGATGAAATTTGATTATTTACAATGCAGATAAATCTATAATATTCCAGTGAATTTTGTTAAGCATTTAAAGTAGTGCAGTATAATTTACATATGTATTGAGTTTCCCTACCATACACAATATTCTGGTTTTATTTTCTGACATTTCTATCACCCAATTTTATAAACACCCTCCATTTGTGATTGAAGATATCTGAAGTGAAAAACTTGTACTAGGTTAGTAAATACATAAGTTGATATTCCTCTACATTTGTATCTTTGCCTGTTCCTTAATTTCTCACAAAAGCTCATCTAAGCCAAAAATCACATACCCCACTATCATACTTTAACTAACAGACACGGCCTTTCTAATGGACATTGCAACGCATTTATGGACAGCCCTGCCTGTAAATATGTCCCTATTCACTTCAATGTGAGGAGGAAATCTATCTCTGGGTGCATGGCTCTTTTAAGGTGAAGTATGGAAGCCCACACCCCAACCCCATGTACCCTGAAGTGGCACAAAGAGCCCTGGATCCAGGCAACACTACCTTAAATCACACGAATCAATGCTAGTTGTTTTTATGGGAGACAGGCTAGTTTGTATGACTACTGAACAGGTCTGGTTCACTTGCCATGCTTCCGATTCCTTAGCTTAGGATCAGTCCCCCTATGTTCTCCAACTCCTTCCTTCTCTGACATGAATTTCCCATGTTTACCTTAACCTACAATTAAGAATTCCCATGTTAAACCTTATTAATGCTAACTGTTCTCTCAATCAGGGTTCAGTAAAAAAACAGCTTCAAACCCTGATTGAGAGCAAACCCTGACTAGTGTTTCAGGAGGATTTAAGTACAATGCTGATAGCTCTTGGTCTTTTAACTGGGTAAAAAAAGGAGCGTTACATCTACTGTGACCCCGTCTCCAATGGCTTATATTGCAGATTTAGCACTGGAGTGATAAGGATGCTCTTGATGTCTTCTGCATGCAAAGCAAGATTAAATTCCCTGTTTCACACATCCACAAAAATAACCACATAGAGCCCCATTGATTTAATTTACTGTGTTTCATTTTCAGGAAACACAATTCAAATGAAACAGATCCTAGTAACCTTATGTCTACCAATCCAAGGCCATCGTATCGAAAAAACATAGTGGAGTTCCCAAAAGTCTGAATAAACAGGATCGCTATAACCCTATAAACGACTTGCTCCAGGACCTGAAATATATTTTCTGCCTTTGTATGTGTATAAAATACATTTTAGTGTTGATGGATTTGGGAGCTGCC